AAAGTCAATTAGTTCAGGTAGAGAGAGACTGGCAGGGGGAGGAGTAGGGCGGGGTCACCTCTGAGGCTGGGTGCCAGTGGGTCAGCCACTAGGTCTGTCCATCTGTACCTTCCGACACAACCTTTACCCTCGGGGTGAACCTCGACTCACACACCGGCGTCGCCCTTTGAAGCATTCTGAAAGCAATAACCAACAGCACATTCCAGTCAAGGCCCATGTGTAAAATGTCCTCGAGGCATAGTCGTCGAAACTGGCCATTCAGCTAGATATATATATATATATATATATATATATATATATATATATATATATATATATATATATATATATATATATATATATATTTATATATATATATATATATATATATATATATATATATATATATATATATATATATATATATATATATATATATATGTCGTACCTAGTAGCCAGAACTCACTTCTCAGCCTACTATTCAAGGCCCGATTTGCCTAATAAGCCAAGTTTTCCTGAATTAATATATTTACTATAATTTTTTTCTTATGAAATGATAAAGCTACCCTTTTCTCTATGTATGAGGTCAATTTTTTTTATTGGAGTTAAAATTAACGTAGATATATGACCGAACCTAACCAACCCTACCTAACCTAACCTAACCTATATTTATAGGTAAGGTTAGGTTAGGTAGCCAAAAAAAGCTAGGTTAGGTTAGGTTAGGTAGACGAAAAAACATTAATTCATGAAAACTTGGCTTATTAGGTAAATCGGGCCTTGAATAGTAGGCTGAGAAGTGCGTTCTGGCTATTAGGTACGACATATATATATATATATATATATATATATATATATATATATATATATATATATATATATATATATATATATATATATATATATATATATATATAATATACGGTCGTCTCCCCCCCCCCCAAAAAAAAAAAAAAAAAAAAAAACATTCATCAGTATTAACGTACTATGTATTAAAAAGGGTTGGTCTCACATATAAAGTAATTGAAGTTGTAGGTAAAGTTAGGTGTCTGACAGGCTAAATGCTTAGGTTCTGGTGGCGTTTATTTGTATGTGAAGTACCAGGATGAAACATATACTGAGTTGCGATTCGAACAGAGGTCCACAGCGAAGCACTATTCGGGAAGTGTTCGAACGTCATCAGTTGTGAGTCGTGTGTAAACGTTTCTTAAACGTAAACATTTGGCGGGGACATGAAATAGTCTTTGGGTCTTTGTTTGGAGGACGGGCTGGATTCACAACCAACCCGTCCTCGACTCAAGTCCATTACATCCAGCGGTCGACCCCACAGACGCATTCATAAATTTTAACATGCTGTTCATTCAAAACAAGAATTTTCGCAAGTATAAATTAATATTATAACATATTAGCATATTGTGTATATATAGGCATAGGATAGGTTAGGTGTTTAGGTTCTGTTGGCGATTATTTGTATTTGTAGTACGTGGGTGAAGCATTTATAGCGTTGTGATTCGAACAAAATTCGTCAGTGAAGCACTTGTTCCGGATATGTTCGAACGTCAGCAGTTGTGAGTCGTGTGTAAACCACTTTTCATTTATAAACAGGGGGTTTGGCGGGTGCATGGAATCACTTTTGGATCTTTGTTTGGAGGACGGGCTGTCACAACTGATGACGTTCGAACACTTTTCGGGTAGTGCTTCGCTGACAACCTCTGCTCGAATCCCAACTCAGTAACCAGCCCGTCCTCCAAACAAAGACCCAAAAGTGATTCCATGCACCCGCCAAACTCCCTGTTTATGAATGAAAAGCGGTTTACACACGACTCACAACCGTTGATCCTCGAACACTTTCGGAACAAGTGCTTCACTGACGAATTTTGTTCGAACCACAACGTTGTAAATGCTTCACCCGCGTACTACAAATACAAATAATCGCCAACAGAACCTAAACACCTAACCTAACCTATGCCTATATATGCACAATATGCTAAAGTATTATCATATTAATTTAAATTTGAGAAAATTCCTGTTTTGAATGAACAGCATGTAAAAATTTATGAATCCTTCTTTGGGGTCGACCGCCGGATGTAATGGACTTGAGTCGAGGACGAGTTGGTAAATGCTTCACCCTCATACTTCACATACAAATAATCGCCAACAGAGCCTAAACAAGTAACCTAAGCCTAACTATGCCTAGAAAGTTAATATAGAACATTAACTTATACTGTATATAAGAACAAACCTATTTTTGATAAACAGTGCGTTAACATTGTTAATGTGTCACGGGAGACGGCCGGCACTTTAACGAGCCTGGCCTGAGGGCGGGTTGTGTCCTTGTATACCTTCCAAGTGTTGTACACCCCAGCTGGTCGGGGTGTGGGTAGTGTGAGGGGTGGAGGACCCCAGCTGGTCGGGGTGTGGGTAGTGTGGGGGGTGGAGGACCACAGCTGATCGGGGTGTGGGTAGTGTGGGGGGTGGAGGACCACAGCTGGTCGGGGTGTGGGTAGTGTGAGGGGTGGAGGACCACAGCTGGACGGGGTGTGGGTAGTGTGGGGGGTGGAGGACCACAGCTGGACGGGGTGTGGGTAGTGTGGGGGGTGGAGGACCACTGCTGGACGGGGTGTGGGTAGTGTGGGGGGTGAAGGACCACAGCTGGACGGGGTGTGGGTAGTGTGGGGGGTGGAGGACCACAGCTGGACGGGGTGTGGGTAGTGTGGGGGGTGGAGGACCACAGCTGGACGGGGTGTGGGTAGTGTGCAACCTGTCCTCTTAAAAAGAACGTCGCTTTTGGCCGTTTGTTCGTATGGCCGAATATGGACGTATTTTGAAAATGAAAAAAAAAATAATATAAATTTGGGAATTTGTTTTTTCAACAAAAGTAAGTTAAGGGTCCTCTGAAGTGTGTGGGGGTGGTGGAGGAATACAGCTGGTCGTGGTGTGGGTAGTGTGAGGGGTGGAGGACCACAGCTGGTCGTGGTGTGGGTAGTGTGAGGGGTGGAGGACCACAGCTGGTCGTGGTGTGGGTAGTGTGAGGGGTGGAGGACCACAGCTGGTCGTGGTGTGGGTAGTGTTATAGTGTGGTAGTGTATATAGTGCCGTGTTGGCGTGGTCACTCATCACGCCGGGTGAGACATGGTCTGCATCATGGCTCTAGTTACTCCAGTGGGAGATGTTCTCCTGGTTCAGCGATACTTTGATCGTTCGAACCCTCGTTGGCGTTGTGTATCATCTCGTGTGTCTGTGTCACAAGTTTTCTCTTTTTCTTGGAGTCTGTACGAAATAGTGGACAAAGCAAGAGGAGGAAATATCGGTAAACGCTTCGATCTCTACCTTTGTCGAGGACAAGTACTCTAACAGGGTACAGGTACTGTTAGGGTACTCGGGGCTTATTAACTCGGGGCCGAGTACCCTAAATCGCCTGTCCGGGTACCTGGGGGCTGCCCTAGGCCAACGACTTAACTTTCCCAGGATGAAACCCACAACAGTCACCTAAATCCAAGTTACCAGTTACTGCTCGGTGCACAGTCTTCAGAAGCCCTGCCCAGGAATCAAACTCGGGTGCAGTAGGTTGTAAACCTGTTGCGTCCACACTGCGCTACTATAGTGCCAGTAACGTGGCACTCCACTGAGGGAGTGCCAGACCTCTCCCTCCACTAAGGGTCCTGACCAGCGAACAACTTCGTTATCTGATAAACAGGTCTTGGTCGCCTGTCACTTCACTGTTGTTGTATGTGATGTATTATGTGGTTTAGTCCACCTAACCAATCGACGCCTAAAGCTCGTTAGTCCGGTATTACTGTGATGTTAGTTTCACTCAAGCAACTGAATTTCTACGCCGAATTTATAGCGTTAAAATCGCGATGTATTGAGTGGAGATCGTGGCGGTCTTGTGCGCTACGGCCGCTCACCAGTTCCCAGATGGACTTTGAATAGTTTTTCGTTGAATAAACATTAACAAATAATGTTTCGATTCCTCTTGTTTCACGCTTCCTTCTCTTAACCTCTCGCGTCATCCTCCTCGTCATAATATCTGTGCTTCCACACTAATTTAATAATTGCTATCATCGTCGTTTTCCACCTTTCTGGCACTTCTCCTGTCTTTTAAAATATCAGTTGTATACTATAGTCAGCGGCTCACAACCTCTGTCACTTCCTTTAGTAACCATGTAGGGAGATGTATAAATCCAGGCCTCGCTGCCTTTGGCCATCGCACCTCTATTATTCTCGAACTGTTTATCCGGCGCTTTCAGGGGTCGGGGTTCGATTCCCGATGGTCCAAGTAGTTGGGCACCATTTCTTCACTCTCTTCGTATCCCAGATCCTTCTTCCTGTATCCCTTCCAAGTGCTACATGTTGGCATCTCTCCGTGCACAGGTGGACACACGACGTTAATATAGCAAGGAGTCGACGCTGATAACGTTAATGCTTTAATTGTCGCTTTTAAAAGTTACCGGAGAAAGTCTTCCCGGTTGGATAATGTCCATATTTACCAACCCTTACCTAGTCTGACGGAGCTGTGCCTTACCATCCCTGGTCTAATCTAATCTGCTTTCCTTCTAATTTTGTTTAACTCATTTCGAGTGTGTGTGTGTGTGTGTGTGTGTGTGTGTGTGTGTGTGTGTGTGTGCGTGCACGCGCGCGTGTGTGTGCGTGCGTGCGAGTACATGTGTGCGCGCACGCGAGCGCTCGATTAAAAAAATAAAAGTTCATTGCCAAACCCTTTCATTCCTCACTCTCTTCTCCCAAGCCTATCCCCCTCAGCCCCCCCCCCCCACCCTCTTCTTCTCTATTCCCGTGGCCCCATTCCCTCTACCCTAAACCCCGTCCTACTGCCCCTCCCCCCCCCCTCATCTCCCCACTCCTGTCCCCATCCTTCTACCTCCCTCCCCATGAAGGATGACTGCACCCCACGCCACGCCGGGCCCTGATAACGTCCAAGGTTGGATACAAAGAGCCGGCCTTTAATCATGGGTGACAGAGCTGGTGGTGTCCCGCAGGTCTCCTAGACAGGGGTAATGTGCCTGTCAGGTGGCCTGTACCTCGCGTCCTGCGGTCCTGGCCTGTACCTCGCGTCCTGCGGTCCTGGCCTGTACCTCGCGCCCTGCGGTCCTGGCCTGTACCTCGCGCCCTGCGGTCCTGGCCTGTACCTCGCGTCCTGCGGTCCTGGCCTGTACCTCGCGCCCTGCGGTCCTGGCCTGTACCTCGCGCCCTGCGGTCCTGGCCTGTACCTCGCGCCCTGCGGTCCTGGCCTGTACCTCGCGTCCTGCAGTCCTGGCCTGTACCTCGCGCCCTGCGGTCCTGGCCTGTACCTCGCGTCCTGCGGTCCTGGCCTGTACCTCGCGTCCTGCGGTCCTGGCCTGTACCTCGCGTCCTGCGGTCCTGGCCTGTACCTCGCGCCCTGCGGTCCTGGCCTGTACCTCGCGCCCTGCGGTCCTGGCCTGTACCTCGCGTCCTGCGGTCCTGGCCTGTACCTCGCGCCCTGCGGTCCTGGCCTGTACCTCGCGCCCTGCGGTCCTGGCCTGTACCTCGCGCCCTGCGGTCCTGGCCTGTACCTCGCGCCCTGCGGTCCTGGCCTGTACCTCGCGTCCTGCGGTCCTGGCCTGTACCTCGCGCCCTGCGGTCCTGGCCTGTACCTCGCGCCCTGCGGTCCTGGCCTGTACCTCGCGCCCTGCGGTCCTGGCCTGTACCTCGCGCCCTGCGGTCCTGGCCTGTACCTCGCGCCCTGCGGTCCTGGCCTGTACCTCGCGCCCTGCGGTCCTGGCCTGTACCTCGCGCCCTGCGGTCCTGGCCTGTACCTCGCGCCCTGCGGTCCTGGCCTGTACCTCGCGCCCTGCGGTCCTGGCCTGTACCTCGCGCCCTGCGGTCCTGGCCTGTCCCTCGCGCCCTGCGGTCCTGGCCTGTACCTCGCGCCCTGCGGTCCTGGCCTGTACCTCGCGTCCTGCGGTCCTGGCCTGTACCTCGCGCCCTGCGGTCCAGGAAACAAGGAGAGAACGCAGCTTATACCGGGGGCATAACAGATAGCCTGGTTGATCCAGTTCTTCCATCCACTTCTGTTCGTTTATCCATCAGTTCAGCCCGCCCATGCACCTGTTTGGTAGGTTTCGTTCCCCCCGTGTAATTACTCGTTAGTCTAAAAGTGTTTTTTTTTAGACACTAGGATGACACATGGTTTATTGTGTTATTCCTGCAGGCTGCGTGAGGCTCCAAGTACTCCCGGACGCTCAAGATTAGCATCTTTGGGTTACTCACATTTCCCTCCGCTTCAGGGGTTCGTGTTATGAGATCTCTCTGAGATGGTGGGGGGAAAAAAGCATCAGTTGTGATGTTTCTGGCTATAGAGGTTCGTAAGGAAGCTCGGTTTCCCGCACAGTGGGTTATCCCTGTGATCGCTTCTCACAGGGATAACCCACAGGGATCGCAGCACTTCTCCAGAATTGTTGCTACAGTGACTGGTAGATTTACTAGTTGGAGTGTGCACAAGCCTCAAGAACACTTATGGAACACAGGATTCAGTTCTGAGCTACGGTATAAAGTTCAAAATCTTACTGAAGCGACCATACGAGTCATAAATACTCACACTCCGCCCAAGTAAAACAGAAACAAGCAACACATAGTAGGCCAGCCAGAGGCTTAGGGCCCGCGCAGGCATATCCCTGCAAAAAAAAAAAAAAAAAAGTTGGGATGTTCCACGTTTCCTTCCTGACTCTTTCACAGTGTGAAAGAGTCAGGAAGTCAGTCATAATAAACAAAATTTTCTTAAATACAAATTAAATGTTACATAATGTGGGTTTGTGCATATTTATACCTAGGTAAGGTTAAGCGAGGTGTTTTGGCGGCGCTTATACACACGAAGTGTTTACTATTATAGGCTAGAGGTAAATGAACCAGGGGCCAGATTCACGAAAGCACTTACGAACCTGTACATTTTTTCTCAATCTTTGGCGGCTTTGTTTCCACTTATTAAACAGTTAATGAGCTCCGAAGCACCAGGAGGCTGTTTATAACAATAACAACAGTTGAATGGGAAGTTTTCATGCTTGAAAACTGTTTAATAAATGTAACCAAAGCCGTCATAGATTGAGGAAAGATGTACACGTTCGTAAGTGCTTGCGTAAGCGCTTTCGTGAATCTGGCCCCAGGTTTCGAGTTATAATTTCAAATAAGTCAACCCATCCCAAGCTATAAGTCAAATACCGACTTACGTAGATATTAATAAGTCAGGTATTTGACTTATTTGGCAGACAATCATCTTACACGATGAATCTCTTCATAAGATACAATAACAAATGTTTTTATCAAATTAAAAATCATTAATGGTGATATATGCAGTTAGGTCAGGTGAGGTGGTTTGGTTACATTGGTCTCGGGTGTTTACAATATTAGCTGGAGGTGAATGAGGAAGGTTGGGCATCAGATCACAACATGGTGTAGTGGACTATATATATATCCCCTCAAACACACACCGAAACTACGACGTTGGTACAACGTTCGAACAAGTTTTAACACCTCCTAACCAGTTGTAACAACCAATATAGCAAGTTGTAACAACGTTCTTATACGTCATAAACACGTTAAGCCAAGATGTAACAACTTTATTACAAGTTGTAACAAGCGGAAAATAGAGACAGTTTCGGTTTGTGTTTCCAGGGATATGAGTCAAATTAGCTGACGACCTGAGCTTGAATTTTATCTCTGTAAATGCTTCACCCACGTACTTAAAATACAAATAATCGCCAACAGAACCTAAAAACCTAACCTACCTTACGCCTAATTATACATAGAACTTTAATGTGTAATAATATTAATTTATATTAGAACAAACCTCTTTTTTTTAATACACACTATATAAAAACTCATGAATGTGGGGTGGGGGGGATGGCCGCTGCTTTAACGAGCCTGGCCTGGAGACAGGTTGCTGTATTTGACATGCACGATGCTAACCTCACGGCCCTTTGTCGTGAAGGCGGGCTGAAGGTTGGCTGACTCGCAGCAAGATGTCTACTAATTCAAAAGCGTCGCTCAGTAGTATTGAAAAGTTCTTCCGTATTTAATTTTCTTCTTTTCATAACGATTTCACAAAGTGCAAATCCGCTCGCTTTCAGACGCATTCCAGTTCTTCCAGAGTAACCGTTAAGACTTGTTAATGGCAGCATTAGTTATTCAGTGTCGTTTTAGGGTTGGCCGCACCTTGGAGGAGTAGAGGCTGAAGATGGCTTGTCTCGCTTCATGCAGGTCGGCCTTCAATCCCCGACCGTCCAAGTGGTTGGGCACTATTCCTTCCCTTCGTCCCATCCCAAATCCTTATCCTGATCCCTTCCCAGTGCTAAATAGTCGTAATGACTTGGTGCTTTCTCCTGATAGTCTCTCCCTCCCTCCCCGTGGGTCTTGACTCACCACCTACATATAGATTCATCTAGATTCACCGGTCCCCCCCCCCTCCTACCTGGATGGGGGGGGGGAGAGTCACTCTGGGTCACCTGGACACATTGGGACACTGTTTCTTGTGGCTCCAAGCATTCAACATCTTAACGAGACCCGTCGCCGCTTGTTTCAAAACGACTCCGTAGTTGGCTAAAGTTTACAGCACTTACGCCGAGGCTGAGCTAACCCACTTGCCAGCACTAACAGCCTGGTGGGACAGGAGTGTGGTGGGTGCGGCAGGTCCTCAGACTGTACACACACACACAGCTATAGCCAGGGATACATAGATCTGCTGCGTATATCCTTTGAAAGTATACTTTTAGAGCTATACACTGCATACATATCTAGGATATACTTAATGAACAAATCCACAAGGGATCACCCCGGGCGTAGGCTCGAACCCTCATCACGGCCATTGTGGATTTGTTCATTTGATATATCAGGCTGTTGTGATTTGTGTGTGTATAGGACACGCCTGCTAGTCGATTAGAAAGCTAGAGGAGTTACCTTGATAGCTCTCCCAGGCGGTTGATAGACCTTGATCTATAGGCCTATGATAGAAAGTGCTTTCACATTCCCCGCCTACACCACCCTCCTCGTGCCGTGCTCCCGGCCTGACCGTGTTGACCCGTGTCTCGTGTTCCGTGTTGTTCCTTGTCTCCAGTCCCGTGTCCCCAGAACGTGTGCTACTTTATTGTGTGTACAAGACATGGATGTCCTGTGCCTTACTAAATTTAAGTTCTATATTGTTAGATATAATTTTTTAAGCCTTTGGTTTAATATGTATGTATATATATATATATATATATATATATATATATATATATATATATATATATATATATATATATATATATATATATATATATATAATAATGTGTGTGTATATGTATATATTATATATATGCAATGTTTTATTTGTTCTTTTTTTTCAGCATCATTTTGTTAAAATGTTCATCTTTAAATTGCTGTTTTAAGTTATTTGTTGAACAACCAAACTGTGTTATCTTCATGGTGATTATACAGGCTATCCTCCCATAATGACAGTACTGCACGTATATATCAACTATTTGACTAAACGTACAAAAAAAAACTGTCGGATGCAAAAAAGGTTCACGTTTTGAATTACTGAATTAGGTTACTAATTCAGTAATTAGTACTTGTGCTTCACTAGGTTTAAGAATGCCTAAGTTTGTTTTTAATTCATTTTTTGTCGTGACCTCTACACAATGTATAATATAACATGCAAACATTGTTGGCTTCAGTTGCTCACCTTTTGTACGTCCGACCAATAGTAGGTACCCAGGGTAAGTATCAGCTTAGGAGGATGGGTTACAAGTGCAGAGGGAGAGATGTACTTCTTCCTCTCCCATTTGTGAGGGGATATGGGTCTATATACCATCTGTGGCCTGTGTTGCAACCTTTCCCAGATCTCCTAGCTCGCCCCCACCACAGCTTCCCAGGTCCACTCTCCACCTCCCAAGGCCCACTCTCCACCTCCAAGGCCCACTCTCCACCTCCAAGGCCCACTCTCCACATTCCTAGGCCCACTCTCCACCTCCAAGGCCCACTCTCCAGCTCCCAAGGCCCACCCTCCACCTCCCAAGGCCCACTCTCCACCTCCCAAGGCCCGCTCTCCACCTCCCAAGGCCCACTCTCCACCTCCAAGGCCCACTCTACACCTCCAAGGCCCACTCTACACCTCCAAGGCCCACTCTCCAGCTCCCAAGACCCACTCTCCAGCTCCCAAGGCCCACTCCCCAGCTCCCAAGGCCCACCCTCCAGCTCCCAAGGCCCACACTCCACCTCCAAGTCCCACTCTCCACCTCCAAGTCCCATTCTCCACTTCCAAGGCCCACTCTCCACCTCCAAGGCCCACTCTCCACCCTCCAAGGCCCACTCTCCACATTCCTAGGCCCACTCTCCACCTCCAAGGCCCCCTCTCCAGCTCCCAAGGCCCATCCTCCACCCTCCAAGGCCCACTCTCCACTTCCCAAGGCCCACTCTCCACCCTCCAAGGCCCACTCCCCACCCTCCAAGGCCCACTCTCCACCCTCCAAGGCCCACTCTCCACCCTCCAAGGCCCACTCTCCACCCTCCAAGGCCCACTCTCCACCTCCCAAGGCTCACTCTCCACCTCCCAAGGCCCACTCTCCACCTCCCAAGGCCCACTCTCCACCTCCCAAGGCCCACTCTCCACCCTCCAAATCCCACTCTCCACCTCCCAAGGCCCACTCTCCACCCTCCAAGGCCCACTCTCCACCCTCCAAGGCCCACTCTCCACCCTCCAAGGCCCACTCTCCACCCTCCAAGGCCCACTCTCCACCCTCCAAGGCCCACTCTCCACCTCCAAGGCAGATATTCCCTATCCTGACCTCAATTCGAATTCTTAGTAATGATTACTAACTCGCTTATGTTTTACCACTTGAATAATCGTCTCCTTCTTGGTGATAAACCTTTCTCTCACTAACAACCTTTCCTTCAATAGAGCTAAGGATTTCTCTCACTGAAACAAGCTTTCTTCCTTACAGCTAAACTATTCTCACGTGAACACTCAGTCCTCACAGTGAGCTAAGGCTTTCTCTCACATAAACAAACTTTCCTTCTATAAAGCCTAAGCTTTCTCGCACTTGATCAACCCTTTCTTTCGTAAAGTTAAAGCTTTCTCTGGCTCATTATGGACTTGACTCAGTTCAATGTTAATTGGTGGTGAGTTTTTATATTAGTCCAGTAACACGTACTGTTCACGTGCAGCAAAGTTTACACCCATGACCCCCCCTTACTCACTGAAGCCCCCCCTTACTGAAGCCCCCCCTTACTGAAGTCCCCCCTTACTGAAGTCCCCCCTTACTGAAGTCCCCCCTTACTGAAGTCCCCCCTTACTGAAGTCCCCCCTTACGGAAACCCCCTTACTAGAGCCTTCCTTACTGAACCATCCGGTACTCACTGAACCTCCTCTTTATGCTGTAAACCCTCCTTACTTACTGAAGCCTCCTTACTTACTGAACCCTCCTTACTTACTGAACCCTTCTTTACTGAACTCTCCCTTATCCCCACGTCAGATATATTTTATTGTCAGGTATAACCTTTTCCTTGTATTAAATTATTAAAGATTTTTTAATCTAAGATCCTCTCGCTTTGCTAAGATCTCTTCCTCCATACGGCAACAGCTTCTCCTCCATGAACACTTCCTACATGCAGCAGAGCTCCTCCATGTACACTTCCTACATGCAGCAGAGCTCCTCCATGTACACTTCCTACATGCAGCAGAGCTCCTCCATGTACACTTCCTACATGCAGCAGAGCTCCTCCATGTACACTTCCTACATGCAGCAGAGCTCCTCCATGTACACTTCCTACATGCAGCAGAGCTCCTCCATGTACACTTCCTACATGTAGGAGAGCTTCTCCTTCACATACTTTAAAACACATTTCTAAACGGGCTAAACTTTTTCGCTGTAATAAAAAGCTAATAATTCTTTTACTTTTAGCTGAACGAAGGTAAAGCTTCAAAGTTAACATCAAAACTATGAAAAAAAAACCCATCCATGCAGCTAAAGCTTAACACCCCCCTCCCATACTGCTACAAGGTTCTTGTTCCATCAGCTGTAAGCGTTCCTGTGCACCTTAAGCTTTTCCTCCGCGCAGTTAAAACTTTCCTCTGTAAAGCTGGAGGTGTTCCTGCCTATTGCAAAAGTTCCTCCATAACTCTTACCAATTTTATTTTCGTCCCCTCGTCACACGCAGCTCCCCCCCCCCCGTCCACCCTTCCATCCTCTCTGCCCCCCCCCCTAATCTTCTACCCTTCCCAGGCCCACCCCACTGACTCCTACCTCCCCCCTGCCTCTAAATTTTGTATGTTATCCAAGTAAAAAAAATTTTTTTTAGGTGGAGTCTTATATATTTTGGCTGGCTACCGTCTCCCCCCTCCACCTCCCCCCCACCACTGTGCACCCCCCCCACACTGTGCACCTCCCCCCACACTGTGCCCCCCCCCACCCCACACTGTGCACCTCCCCAACTCTCCCCCACCTACCGACCCTCTCCCGCATGTCTGAAGGTAAGCCAGCTCGTCAAACTTACCCAAACATGGAGCAAAAGAATTACAGGCATTATGCTCTTAAAGTCCATAGTAACAGGATAGGTTTGGTCAATATGATTATTAACCCGGTAACATTTAATAATTACCCAAGATTTTGAAAGACTTGAGAGTAGAGAGTGTGTGACTCCAGGCACAGGAACTAAACGCTCTCTCAGGAGCAGGATCACGTCACAAGACAAGCATCTCGAGATGTAACTCAGGTGGTTCCCTGCGACCAGACAAGGAACTGCTTCATTAACCTGGCCATCTTAGGTGCCTGCCTTGGGCTCCTTGTTCGCTAGTGATGGTTGTCCTCCCTCCCTCCTGACCTTCCATACGCCCCCCCCTCCTGCTCTCCCCAACCCATCACTCTTTTCACCCCATTCCTGTACACCTTTCCCATCTCCATCACCCCCTTTCCTCGTGTCATGATTGTCGTGGGGAATGTTTGTTTTGTATTTCAATCTTATGTGGTGTTTCACCGGTGTGACCTCCTACTGCTTGACCACACCTGTGACCTCTTCCCTGCTGGACCACACCTGTCATCTCTCCCCCTTGCTGGACCACACCTGTCATCTCCCCCCTGCTGGACCACACCTGTCATCTCCCCCTTGCTGGACCACACCTGTCATCTCCCCCTCTCCTGGACCACACCTGTCACCTACCCCCCTCTCCTGGACCACACCTGTCACCTACCCCCCTCTCCTGGACCACACCTGTCACCTACCCCCCTCTCCTGGACCACACCTGTCACCTACCCCCCTCTCCTGGACCACACCTGTCACCTACCCCCCTCTCCTGGACCACACCTGTCACCTACCCCCCTCTCCTGGACCACACCTGTCACCTACCCCCCTCTCCTGGACCACACCTGTCATCTCCCCCTTGCTGGAACACACCTGTCACCTCCCCCTTCTGCTGGACCACACCTGTCACCTACCCCCCTCTCCTGGACCACACCTGTCACCTTCCCCCTTGCTGGACCACACCTGTCATCTCCCCCCCTGGTGGACCACACCTGTCACCTCCCCCCCCTCTGCTGGACCACACCTGTCACCCCCCCCCCCCTGCTTGAGGAGGATGGAGGCCCAGGTGTTCATTCTTCACCATATTCTTGGAGTAATTAGGTTCATTATCCCTAGGTCGATTTTATGTATTTTTTCCACCTGTAAATTAATATATTTGTTATGTAATAATTAAGTACCACATATATTTTTAATATCAACAATAAGAATATTTTGTTCGCTGTTCATACTCGCCATAGAAAGCCAGAAGTGTCCAGTCAGCATGCTGCGTGGTACAGCTGCTGCAGGGGTTCATGATGCGTGGTACAGCTGCTGCAGGGGTTCATGTTGCGTGGTACAGCTGCTGCAGGGGTTCATGTTGCGTGGTACAGCTGCTGCAGGGGTTCATGTTGCGTGGTACAGCTGCTGTAGGGGTTCATGTTGCGTGGTACAGCTGCTGCAGGGGTTCATGTTGCGTGTACAGCTGCTGTAGGGGTTCATGTTGCGTGGTACAGCTGCTGTAGGGGTTCATGTTGTGTGCACAGCTGCTGCAGGGGTTCATGTTGCGTGGTACAGCTGCTGTAGGGGTTCATGTTGCGTGGTACAGCTGCTGTAGGGGTTCATGTTGCGTGGTACAGCTGCTGCAGGGGTTCATGATGCGTGGTACAGCTGCTGCAGGGGTTCATGTTGCGTGGTACAGCTGCTGTAGGGGTTCATGTTGCGTGGTACAGCTGCTGCAGGGGTTCATGATGCGTGTACAGCTGCTGCAGGGGTTCATGTTGCGTGGTACAGCTGCTGCAGGGGTTCATGATGCGTGGTACAGCTGCTGCAGGGGTTCATGCTGCGTGGTACAGCTGCTGCAGGGGTTCATGTTGCGTGTACAGCTGCTGTAGGGGTTCATGCTGCGTGGTACAGCTGCTGCAGGGGTTCATGATGCGTGGTACAGCTGCTGTAGGGGTTCATGTTGCGTGGTACAGCTGCTGCAGGGGTTCATGTTGCGTGGTACAGCTGCTGTAGGGGTTCATGATGCGTGGTACAGCTGCTGCAGGGGTTCATGTTGCGTGGTACAGCTGCTGTAGGGGTTCATGTTGCGTGGTACAGCTGCTGCAGGGGTTCATGTTGCGTGGTACAGCTGCTGCAGGGGTTCATGTTGCGTGGTACAGCTGCTGCAGGGGTTCATGATGCGTGGTACAGCTGCTGCAGGGGTTCATGCTGCGTGGTACAGCTGCTGCAGGGGTTCATGTTGCGTGGTACAGCTGCTGCAGGGGTTCATGTTGCGTGGTAAAGCTGCTGCAGGGGTTCATGTTGCGTGGTACAGCTGCTGCAGGGGTTCATGATGCGTTGTACAGCTGCTGTAGGGGTTCATGTTGCGTGTACAGCTGCTGCAGAGGTTCATGTTGCGTGTACAGCTGCTGTAGGGGTTCATGTTGCGTGGTACAGCTGCTGTAGGGGTTCATGTTGCGTGGTACAGCTGCTGCAGGGGTTCATGTTGCGTGTACAGCTGCTGTAGGGGTTCATGATGTGTGGTACAGCTGCTGCAGGGGTTCATGATGCGTGGTACAGCTGCTGTAGGGGTTCATGTTGCGTGGTACAGCTGCTGCAGAGGTTCATGTTGCGTGTACAGCTGCTGCAGGGGTTCATGTTGCATGGTACAGCTGCTGCAGGGGTTCATGTTGCGTGGTACAGCTGCTGCAGGGGTTCATGATGTGTGGTACAGCTGCTGCAGGGGTTCATAATGCGTGGTACAGCTGCTGTAGGGGTTCATGTTGCGTGGTACAGCTGCTGCAGAGGTTCATGTTGCGTGTACAGCTGCTGCAGGGGTTCATGTTGCGTGGTACAGCTGCTGCAGGGGTTCATGTTGCGTGGTAGAGCTGCTGCAGGGGTTCATGTTGCGTGGTACAGCTGCTGTAGGGGTTCATGTTGCGTGGTACAGCTGCTGCAGGGGTTCATGTTGCGTGGTACAGCTGCTGCAGGGGTTCATGTTGCGTGGTACAGCTGCTGCAGGGGTTCATGATGTGTGGTACTGCTGCTGCAGGGGTTCATGATGCGTGGTACAGCTGCTGTAGGGGTTCATGATGCGTGGTACAGCTGCTGTAGGGGTTCATGTTGCGTGTACAGCTGCTGCAGGGGTTCATGTTGCGTGTACAGCTGCTGTAGGGGTTCATGTTGCGTGTACAGCTGCTGCAGGGGTTCATGTTGCGTGTACAGCTGCTGCAGGGGTTCATGTTGCGTGTACAGCTGCTGTAGGGGTTCATGTTGCGTGTACAGCTGCTGCAGGGGTTCATGTTGCGTGTACAGCTGCTGCAGGGGTTCATGTTGCGTGTACAGCTGCTGTAGGGGTTCATGTTGCGTGTACAGCTGCTGCAGGGGTTCATGTTGCGTGTACAGCTGCTGTAGGGGTTCATGTTGCGTGTACAGCTGCTGTAGGGGTTCATGTTGCGTGTACAGCTGCTGTAGGGGTTCATGTTGCGTTGTACAGCTGCTGCAGGGGTTCATGTTGCGTGGTACAGCTGCTGCAGGGGTTCATGTTGCGTGTACAGCTGCTGCAGGGGTTGATATTGCGTGGTACAGCTGCGGTAGGGGTTCATGTTGAGTGGTACAGCTGCTGCTGTAGGGGTTCATGTTGCGTGTACAGCTGCTGTAGGGGTTCATGTTGCGTGTACAGCTGCTGTAGGGGTTCATGTTGCGTGTACAGCTGCTGTAGGGGTTCATGTTGCGTTGTACAGCTGCTGCAGGGGTTCATGTTGCGTGGTACAGCTGCTGCAGGGGTTCATGTTGCGTGTACAGCTGCTGCAGGGGTTCATGTTGCGTGTACAGCTGCTGTAGGGGTTCATGTTGCGTGTACAGCTGCTGTAGGGGTTCATGTTGCGTGTACAGCTGCTGTAGGGGTTCATGTTGCGTGTACAGCTGCTGTAGGGGTTCATGTTGCGTGTACAGCTGCTGTAGGGGTTCATGTTGCGTGTACAGCTGCTGTAGGGGTTCATGTTGCGTGTACAGCTGCTGTAGGGGGTTCATGTTGCGTGTACAGCTGCTGCAGGGGTTCATGTTGCATGTACAGCTGCTGTTGATTCACTGTGGAGGTTCTACGAGATCTGTCTTGACCGTAGCAAATAAACTTTCCTTCAAATGTAGAATGTAAACAGGTAGCTGTAGGCTACAGACGGTGTATCCCCCTTTCCCCTAGAGTTCTTTGGCAATACATCTTCTGAACTGCTTTTTATTGTGGTGATTTACAGTGGGGAGAAGTCAGCTGTGACCACCCCAGTCGTAGCTTCGGCAGAACCCAACGCTGTGTAAATTAAATGCCATTATTAGTTTTGGTGATGCACTTGTCTGGCAGGGGGTGGCAGGCCCCCATCCCCTACCAGGGGGGATGGCAGGCCGCTCAGCCCCTGCCAGGGGTAGATATAGACCATAGCGCTCCCACCGCTCACCTCCTCCCCCATGCACCTCACTCCGCCTTTTTTTCTCTCAAATATATCGCTATTCTAAAGTGATCTTCGTAGTGAGGAAATGTGCATACATTTATATGGATGAATGAGGCGGTGATGGGTGGCGGTGGTTGCGTGTTGTTGAAACTTGCCCGCCACTAACCCCTGGGAGGAGGGGCCTGCATCCGCCCCCCTCCCCCCTGATTGCTGCTTGTGTTGGGTTGCCCCCTCACACAAACTAATATTCCTGTGTCGTCGTTTTCAGTAGCGCTGTGTAGATGTCTTCCCCAGATAAACTCATTAAAAAAACAAAAACATTAAGTTTTAAGTTTGATTGTGATCATCCTTTTCTTTTTAGCGAGACCCCCCTTATTAACGAGCACGTGTTATGAATGCAATGTTGCTGTTATAAGTGAAAGGGTTTATGTGTAAAAGTGTATTTTTTAAATGGGGGATGGCAAGTGAATTTAAGCAGACATGATTCACTGGCCAAAGTATGGTATTGTGTTGTGACTGGCTGTGGGTGGCAGCCATGTCTGGGAGCATGTCGCGCGTGAGTGTGTTTGCATGGGTGTGTGTGTGTGTGTGTGCGTGTGTGTGTTCCATTAGCCGTGAGGTTGCCCGCTGGGCTTGCACATTCCAGCACATTACTAACAGCGTTCCTTGACCTGCCTACCACAGCCCCCATCAGTCCACGCCGCCAGAAACTCAACTTGCGAATGAAAAGTTTCTCACTTGACTCTCCGGAGTCGACCGAGCACGTTCATCGCAGGCGCCAAGGAGGCTCCGCCCACGTCAGCCACGCCTCCTCTCACAGCCAATGTAAAGCTCGCAGCCACGTGCACGTAGCACGCCCACCAGTCATATCCTTCCACGTCACTATTCTCTTAACTACTCTGACCAACGGTCTTGTTGCTAAGCACCAGCTCCAGGCCGATATTTTCTCATCTCAATGTTTGCCGTTTTGTATAGCCTCTTACAGTCAAATTCAATCATGTAATTTTATACTTGTCTTACTCTTTCGTATGTCCCAGAAAACTGTTTAAAATACCTTTTAAAAAATTCTTCGTAATTAGAGGTAATAGATTAAAGTATAATTAGAATGCTTGAGATGACCAGTTGCTGTTGACTAACGTAGCCAGACTTTGCTGTATGTCTCTAAAAGTGGATGTGTGTTGTGGGCACGGGAGCTTCCTCACACCCTGCTCTCACCGTGTTGCTTCACTCCGGCCGCCCGCTCGCTGGCCGCTCTCTCACCAAGGAATGACCGCCACACTAAGCCACACTGTGCTTACCTCTTGTAACTTTATCAGTGATGGCCTCACCTACACTCTTTCTAATAGGATATTTTGGTGTAATTATTATTTTATATATATATACATATTTTTTTAGGCACCTCGTTAGAAAACTTATATATACTTGGTTCCTCTTATGTTTGTGGCATGCTCGTTAATTAGTTGGTGTTCATGGCGATGCTTCCCTTTATCTTCTATTTTAAATTTAATCCTGTTTTGTTTTTCTCTCCTCGGGTTATCTTGCTCCCAACTCTTGTATTGCCTCAGTGCTGGTGTTTTATCTCCCTTTGTTTATTCAATGTTTATGCGTTTTAGTTTTGTGTTTTCTTTGTGTGTTGACATTTTTGCCGTTTCTGGTAAAGTGTGAGTCGTGTAACGCAGACATTGGCGGAGGCCCTGGCACGCTCCGGCCCTCACTGCTAACAACGCCAGCCCGTGTGACAACAGGCCTTGCGCTCACCTGTCCCAGGGTCGGGTGTTGCCTGCCTCCCACAACAACTCCACTGCCTCCTGCATCGCGTTCGCCTCTCTCCTGCATGTTTACAACCCAACGCTCACATTATTTCCTTTGGTTATCCATGTTTATGTGAATTTCGAGACTTTTTTTTTATAAGAAATTCTGTGCTTTCATAAGGCAATCTTTGCTCAAGTTTCAAATGTTTTCTGTAGACTAGAATTTTTGATAAGATAAATATTTATTGCTTTTTTTTTTACCAAGGCCCGGACATGTTTTTAGGTCGAGGTTATAGACTGCTTTTTGCATATCTTTTTTTTTTTTTTCCTAAGATGCCATTTCTTGACGTGATTTTTGTCGGTGTGGCACATCTCTCCAGGCATCATGCGAGTTTAGTTAGAGTTTGCAATACATAAGAGGGACGTTACAGTGGTGAAACTTGACAGCTTTTGTGGTCAACTCCAAATCATGACAAAGTTCTTCTATAATGGCCCCCTGCCTGGCCAAACCTGACGTAATGTTCCTTCCAGCTGCATATAAGCTCTTGAGGCCCAGAGCCGTCTTACGACAAGACCTCAACACTGTACTTCTCCACGCTCTAAACCGGTGTTTATTTTTTTTTTAGGTTCTTCCTGATAAACGCCCAAGAGCCGTCCGAGTTAAGCCACCCTCTTAGACGAGACAAACTAGTTTATGCCCCTTGACCTTCCTAACCATGCTTGTCTTCTCCCCCTCGCGTGTATTAGGTCACTAACATGACACCCGACACACACGTCCTTCTTCACGGCGACCCAGGATGGCTGGATATAGGGAGATGGTCACGTCTCCGCCCGCAGAGCGAACCCCTCACCGGTAGGGGAGGCGGGCGGAGGCATAGGGAGAGATGGTTAAGCTTCCGTTTGCGAAGACAGCCTTACGTGGAGGGGGAATAGAGAGATGGTGAAGCCTATGCCTACTGGGGGTACCCCCTTCCCCCCCTCACAAGAGGGAGGATGGGACATAGGGAAATGGTGTCGAAGTCTCTGCCACCCACGCGCGGGAATTGAGTGGTCATGGGGGGCTGACGGCTGAGTGGACAGCGCTCGGCGTTCGTAGTCCTAAGGGTCCGGGTTCAATCCCGGGCGGAGGCGGAAACAAATAGGGCAGAGTTTCTTTCACCCTGATGTCCCCTGTTCACCTAGCAGTAAATAGGTATCTGGGAGTTAGACAGCTGCTACGGGCTGCTTTCTGGAGATGTGTGTGTGTGTGTGGAAAATAGGATTAAGGACCTGTCCGAAACGCTATGCGTGCTAGTGACTGTACAAGAATGTAAGAACTCTTGTATATATTAAAGAAAAGACCAGTTAGGGTGTTTTAACGTTCAGACCCGGTTATAGCGACTTCCAGTGGGAGTTGTGGTATGCAACTCGTGCTCCAGGGCAGACTGGGTGCTCATATTTCGGACAGGTGCTCTCATCTGTGGCCGGTGTTCTCATCCATGATCGGGGGGGGGGGGATCATGAACAGCACTCTAGGGCCATGAGACGGCTTGGTCATCACTGCCGAGGCACACCATGGAGAGTGAGGCATGTCATTCAAGTGTCAAAGCGATCAGAATAGTCACTCGGTGGCCATATCGGGTAATAATAAAGTCATGGTGCATGAGATTGGCCGTGACGAGTGTGAGCGTTGAGCTGTGTTGCTAGTGGTGGCTCAGGCACAGTTTGTTAAGTGTTTGATGATGTCACAAGACTGGTCAGAAGGGGAAGTGTAAGTTAGAGTTACTGACCTGTGCCTTCTTTTGATCATTACTTTAAGGAGTTACTCGCCATTAATGGAGTCCTAAGAGAAAAGTGTGGACGTGATAAATTGCTCATATGAGCTCAAAAGGGGCCATGAAACTCTTGGACGAGAGCTGAAGGTCACTGGGAGATTCGAGTGGGTGTTCAAGGGTCATGATGGCTAAGGCAAGGTCTGTGTGAGCTACAGTATGTCATGATAAACTCATGGTGGGTATGGAACATATACTTCCAGGTGGTGCCATGTACTAAGGGAAGTGTGGGAAAAGAAGCTGATGATAATGCTGGTATTCGTGGCACTCCCCATATTTATTTAAGGTCGTGACCCCTAATAAGTCACAAGCTTCCTTTGTCATTGGATTTCTTGGACCTTTTATAATCCGAGTTGGCCATAACCTCTCCCTCTTCATAGCCCTTGGAGTTTCCCGTGCCAAGTTTTAAGGCAATTTTTGTTATGAATGTCTTTGCTTTAGGGAAGACAGTAGACTGTTCTGACTAATTGATCGTGAACTGTGTTGGCTCGCGTACTACTCAGTCAGTGATCTTCCTGAGTTGCATGGAGTTATGGGCCGTTGATCACGGGGGACTACAAACTTGACTTAATTATCGTTCAAGTGTTTTCCTGGAAATGACATGGACCTTACTGGGTCACAAGAAAAATGTCGAAGTTCTTCCAGGCTTATAGGTGTTAGGGATTCCGGGGCTGTTGTGGGGTTTGGATCTTCACGGCCATGCGGTATCAGCTGTACTGTAAATGTCAGCACTGTGGAGAAATGCCCGACAGACCACTGGAACATTATCCAACACAGTGCACAGTTACAAACCCATTAAGATTTCAACTTAGATTCAACAGAGCAGAAGAAGTTGTTAAACACATATGGCAAAATCTTACTAAAGCGACCATACGAGTCATAAATACTCACACTCCGCCCAAGTAAAACAGAAACAAGCAACACTTAGTGGGCCAGCCAGAGGCTTAGGGCCCGCGCAGGAATATCCCTGCAAAAAAACAGAGCTGATCTCTTAGCGGAATCAATGATGATCACGTACATATTTCAGGGTGGTGGAAAGTCAGGTGGTTACTCTCTGGTCACAGACAATCCCTGACCGTGGCGAGGGACATTTCACTTCTGTTTGTGGGAAACTTGACGGAGAGTGTTACGGCACCTTTTTTCAATAAACAAGACACTCATTTCCCGCGACTTGCGTCTAATATCACAACACTTACAGCTAATATTTAGAACAACACTTGAGAAGTTGTGATAATATTACCCCGTAGGCCATCTGGGTTTCCTGGAAGACTGACGTGGAGTGTATTTCGTCAAGGACCCTCCATTTATAACTAATTTAGTCACGGATGTTCCCGAGTGCCCTTAGGAAGGTTGGGGTCATCAGTAACATTGCCCCGCATGTGTCGCGTGGCGCCCCTGGGACCAACACACGGCACAGTTATTATATATATTACCATCCACTCTTCTTCCCACTGGAGAGGACAAGAACGTCAACATTTCTTTAAATGAGTTCCTCTCCAGACCACAGTGGCCTTCTTTTTAACATCTTCCCCCATTAACAAAATCAAAGTGTGGCGTTGATGTGTGGTCATGTAGCGAGACAAGGTGAGAGCAGACGCCCTCCGCCAGGTTGACGAGCTCTGGCCCCCATTTCTTCCTCTTGTTTCAGAACCTAAGCTCTCGGTGTTCGCGCTGGGCATGATCGCCTCCACAAAGTCCCGTACAACCCACCACCACTACTACCACCAACACCGCCCCAAATCGCCCTTTTTCAACCACCTAAAGAGCCACACTGGTACACCTCCACCTAGTGCACAAGGGGGATTATAGCCCCCGCCCCGCCTCTAGCATACCTTCTAGCATATCCTCTAGAGCCTCTAAAGAAGAGTGACCCATTTAACATGTTTATCGACTCCTCAGTAACTAGAACAATTTTCCTGATTAGACCTAGTCAACATTAGCCTCCTGAGAGCATCTTGCCTTCATATCCTTTTTAAACTGAGAAGTAAATTGAGCTAGAAATGTTTTGTCGTTTGCATTGACTACTCGCCGCATTCAATGTGGAATTGCCTCACTAGAAATGGCGATAGTGAGCCTAGATATACTGATGTGAATGTGTGTGATTGGCTTGCCTCCCCATGTGGTGGTGGTGGTGGTGGTAGTGGTGGTGGTGGTGTGCGGCGGGGCTGGGCAGGCCCCAACCTTGGTGCACACGCATACACACACACACACTCACCAACCAACTGGTGGTGGTGAGAGTGCGGGCGTGTGTGCGCACGCGGCGGGGCTGGGCAGGCCTCATCACCATCCCTGGTGCACACGCACACACACTCACCACTCACACTCACCATCCAACTCCTGGACCAGACACCAGGAGCACCACCGACTCAGTATCTCCCGACACTTGGAGTTAATAAGTATCTTGCTACATCAGTGCATCGTAATGACTCCTCTACGGGTTTCTTTCTTGTTTTCCTTTAGCTGCCACAATATTAGTCCGGGCCTGAGTTAGATACATTTATGAAGGTGTTTATGTGAACTTTTATAGATAGCTTACATACCATATATTTTATATACTGTACTAGCTGTAGACTTTTCACCACCTAAGGTGTGTCGAGTGCGTGCAGGTCTCTACGTCGTCGCCCTGGAACTCTAGCTATTGCCATTTTATAATATAGCAATATTTAGAATAGTTATTTGCTGAGATTTGGTTAAATTAATTTGCCTTACCACAGGGTACGAGTAATTAATGAGTGTATGTACTACAGCTGCTCTTAGAGGAGAGTGCCGCCAAGTTGCCAGCCGGAGTGCCGCATCTGGTGTCCTCAACACCTGGGATACAACTCTGCACTTATTACGCATTCTTGACACTTGGAATAAAAAAAACATATTTTTGTTGTTTTTTTATACATGGAATTGTTCCTTTTGTTTTGATGTAGTGTTACGGTTGGTGAAGTAGACCAAGCCGGCGTGCGTGTCTCTGGGGGCAGCTGCGGGTGGGCGTGTGGTGGGCGTGCATGAGGAGGCCCAAGGGACACGCCGCCAGGGACTACTGACGGCACCGTGACGCGCCTGGTGTGCGCATGCGCCTGTGTGTGTTGGACGTTCCGTTGTGTGGTGAACTGTGTCCGCTTGCATGCTTCCCTGTCTTAACACGCTCTCATTCTGTACAAGCAGTAACTACCAATTTGTAGCGATACTTCCGGGAAACAAATATTTATTAAGCCAATTAACCATCCTCTGTTTGACTACTTTATGGCAACTAAGATAAGAGTTGTTAATTGGTATTCATTTGCCTTAGACTCTTGACTCCTGGAAGGGTAATCAGCGCTATCGCTATTGTGCGATATTGGAAGTTATTTTGTGCAGTATGAGTGAGGCAGGCGGCCCGCGGCCCGGGCTGAGCTGCGACGAGGCTCAGGAGCCCTGGGGCGCCCTGCCAGCGCTGACAGCGACGTGACCTGCTCGGCTCTTCAGTTATATATCTGGGAGATTACTAGTATGACTTTCATATCTAATTCTGCACTAACTCTCGCTCTTAAGCACTTTGAATTGTAATTTGGTGAGCGGCATTTAGTCAGCAGCCCTGGGCTGAGCGCGTCCAGGTTCCTGGAACACGAGACGCCGCTCGCTAGCTGGGCTCTTGGCTCTGTGCTTACATATCATATTTATTAGTTACCTCACTTATTAGTCTCATTTTTTTACCTTGTTCTTTTTCATTGATTTAATGCCCAGTCAGATAGAGTAGTTTCTTCATCCAGTAATTATGCTTTGAGCTCATGATCTCCCTTTGATATGAAGTAGTAGTGTTGATGCTAATAGAAGGAAGGTGGGGGGTAAGGGGCTGCTAGGGGCTGCTCCCAGGCCAGCGGCACACTCCGCCACCTCGCCTGCGGCCGCCTCCCGCACCTCGCCTGCGGCCACCTCCCGCACCTCGTCGACTGGTTTAACCTCTCCTGTGTCGCCTCCCCCCACAGCGCCCTCCAGCCCAGTCCACAACCGGCGCCTCCTCACCGCCCGAAACATGAGAATGAGCTCAGTAGACCTACCCGACGAGAACGAGAAGTCCCTCAGTTCAGCCAGCACCTCACCCTGCCCTTCACCCGTAAGTAAAGTAAGTATGCAGGTGCCGATTGTTACCAAGGAAGAGGATAGTGAAGATGGAGTGGCTGCCTGCTGCCCTCTCCCTTCCCCCCTCTCCCCCCCCCATCAACAGTCCTCGCACGATGGCTGCTACACCTTGGTCCCTCCTCCATGCCTGCTGCTGCGCCTGCTCGTGGTGCTGCTGCTGCTGCTGCTGGTTGACATACGAAAGGGGACTTGGAGAAGTTGTGTTGTCCTAACTTCTGCCATGTTCATCCTTTTATATTGTTTGATGTGGCTGGAGCGTAGTGTAATTGTGCGGAGTTTCTGCATTACTTGTAAGATGGTATGTTCTCCCTCTCCTCCTTGTGTAGTCTTATATGTGTCCGTGCTGTATGGAATGTTCTCTCTCTCGCTCTCTCGCGCTCTCGCGCACTCTCTCGCGCTCTCTCGCGCTCTCTCTCGCTCTCTCGCTCTCTCTCTCGCTCTCTCTCTCTCTCTCTCTCTCTCTCTCTCTCTCTCTCTCTCTCTCTCTCTCTCTCTCTCTCTCTCTCTCTCTCTCTCTCTCTCTCTCTCTCTCTCTCTCTCTCTCTCTCTCTCTCTTGCTCTCTCTCTCATAGCGCACTAGTGTATGTAGATGATTCACAACCGGGGGTCCCGGGTTCAATGCCCGCAACGTTTCCTTTCACCTGCTGCACCTCTTCACATAGCACTTAATAAGTACCGAGGAGTTAGAACTGTTGTGGATTGCCTCCTGGAGAAGGGGGAGGGGGGGGGAGGGGGAGAAGGAGGACGTCTTCGAGAGCCATAAGGTGAACCTACACACACACACACACACACACACACACACACACACACACACACACACACACACACACACACACACACACACACACACACACACACACACCTTTGTTTCAGATGGTGAATGAGAGTGCGCGGTGGTCCCCGGGTGACGTAATAATAATCCCCAATAATCCCACTCCACTTTCTCATCACTCTCACCTTGAGCACGTGGCTGGCAGATGCTTAAGCTTCAGGCCGTGACAAGCATTAATATGACACATGCGTTAATGTATGACACATACGTTAATATTACACTTGCGTTAATATGACACAAGTGTTAAATTAATAAGACACCAGCATTAATGTGACACAAGCGTTAATATATGACACAAGCGTTAATATATGACACATACGTTAATATGACACAGGCGTTAATATGACACGTTAATATGACACAAGGTCACGCACGATCACACTGCCACTAATGTCAGTTGATGATTGACGCTAGTAAAGGACAAGAGAGAAGTCAGCTCTACTTATCAGTCCCAAAAAATGACAAAAACTGACATTGATATTATTACTTATTAAGAAGATAAAGATCTTATTAGGAAGATGTGGTGATGAGCCGCGTCACCAAGATGAACGCCGCTCTTCATGCGTACTGATTGATTGATGATTGATGAAGATTAAGCCACCCAAAAGGTGGCACGGGCGTGAATAGCCCGTAAGTGGTGGCTCTTTGGAGCCATTACCAGTATCAATAGAATAGGTGACGCTGGTGACTAACATCGTATCCCAGGATATTTATATAAAATATTGAGTTTGAAATTATTAGAACATTTATATAAAACTGAAGGACTGATCCAAATTTCAGAAAATGTATTTAATATGAAATTTTCTATATCCGAAGTTGTATATTTTTTTAAACTCATTTTCAACAAATGAAACTCAAAATTAGTTTGGGAAGAATAGTTTAAAGACGGCAGATAGGGCGTTAAAATGTATGTGTCCAGTTGGTATAGGCTTACCAAGCCGGGATCCAATGTGTCCCAATATGTAAGAGTTGGATATTGTTTGAGTTGAGATTGGATATTATATCGAGTCGCTCAATATAACGTCGAGTTGGCTCGACGTTGAATCACCGTTAATATAGCATTCAACTGACGTTGTTGCTCTTGGCTACTGCGTCAGGCACTGGGGGAGACGGTAACAAGCTTCCAGAGTAATTAAATATAACTATAGGGATGTTTCTGGGAAGCAGACGGGGGGTGAGGCGGGACTGTCTTAGATGCCTGCTTGCTCCACTTAATTATTAATTAGTGCTGCTGAGAGGAGACTGTGCAGGCTGATACTATACGACGCCACTACAACCTTCAAGGGGTCACGCAGGGTGCAGTCGCACCTCCACAGATCTCCAGTATCAGCTCTTGATACTGGTAATGGCTCAAAAGGGCCACCACTTACGGGCTATTCATGCCCGTGCCACCTTTTGGGTGGCTTAATCTTTATCAATCAATCACCTTCAAGGGCCACCACGCCAAGCCTCCGAGGGACACCAGTGGCCGCTGTTTCAGCCGTGTGGTTCCTCTCACCAAGTGAGAGGAACAAGCGTGTGACAGTGTAGCGAGGCACAAGACACAGGTTTATATAAACCAGGTTTGGATGTTTTATCATCCTGAATGTGATGGATATCCCTGTAATCTTTGGGCAGGTTAAAGCAGCGAATAGTTCAGTGTAGGAAAATCTGGAATAGTATGAACAAATCCTCAAGGGCCGTGACGAGGATTCGAGCCTGCGTCCGGGAGCATCCCAGACGCTGCCTTAACCGACTGAGCTACGACATGGTAAAAGAGTCTGGGATGCTCCCGGACGCAGGTTCGAATCCTCGTCACGGCCCTTGTGGATTTGTTCATTTGATGCATCACGCTATTGTGATTTCTGTGTGTAGTGTCGTGTCTGGAATAGTACAATAACTAATGACACGATACACGAAAATATCGTTCAGAACACAAAGAGGATTTTTGTGGCCAGACAATACACGTTGTTGGCTGTGACCTGCTCTATGGGCAGTGATAGGTTGTGATGGACTTTGACAGTTACCGGGTTTTCAACATTCGAGTTTGACATTTTCTTCCTCTACATATCGTTCTAAGGACGATATTCAAACAAAGGTGATGTAGCAGTCCAGCCTCCCAACATGGCGGAACTTACAGTAACGAGGCGCACGCGCTAGAATCAATGTTGTAGCCAACATTGTTAACGTTTAGTGTACCTATAATGTTGTAAAGGGCATGAAAACCCCCTCCAACCAAATATTCCTACGCCTAGTATAGCACATACTATGCTGAACTACATACGTTGGACTTAAGATATTAGGTCTAAGATTGCTTCTTCAGGATAGGTTTAATTCTTTAGTTTTTTGAGACGCCGTTTGGGCCAGCCCGTCCTCCAAACAAAGACCCAAAAGTGATTCCATGCACCCGCCAAACCCCAGCTGTTTATGAATGAAAAACGGGTTACACACGACTCACAACTGCTGACGTTCGAACACTTCCGGAACAAGTGCTTCACTGACGAATTTTGATCGAACCACAACGCTGTAAATGCTTCACCCACTTACTACAAATACAAATAATCGCCAACAGAACCTAAACACCTAACCTAACCTAACCTATGCCTATATATGCACAATATGCTAATATATTTTAATATTAATATATATTTCAGAACATTCCCGTTTTAAATGAACAGCATGTTAAAATTTATGAATGTGTCGTGGGGTCGACCGCTGGATGTAATGGACTTGAGTCGAGGACGGGTTGCTTTGAGCTGAGAGTTACACAAAATGTTAATTTTTTTTTTTTATTAATTGCTGTACGGACTCGTTTAGGGGGACGGGTTTGATTGTAGAGAGACAGGGAGGCGAGTGTGAGTGTGAGTGTGAGTGTGTGTGTGTGTGTGTGTGTGTGTGTGTGTGTGTGTGTGTGTGTGTGTGTGTGTGTGTGTGTGTGTGTGTGTGTGTGTGTGTGTGTACACTCACCTAGTTGTGTTTGCGGGGGTTGAGCTCTGGCCCTTTGGTCCCGCCTCTCAACCGTCAATCAACAGGTGTATAGATTCCTGAGCCTATTGGGCTCTATCATATCTACACTTGAAACTGTGTATGGAGTCAGCCTCCACCACATCATTTCCTAATGCATTCCATTTGTCCACCACTCTGACACTAAATACATACGTGTGTGTGTGTGTGTGTAACGTTGCCTCTCTTAGACACCTGTCACATGTGACCGAGGTACAGAGGTAAACTATCCATTCCGTCGTTAATGGATAGTTTGGCGTCCGTGACGTTGATGTGAGGTGAAAATGGCCTTCAGTAATTCCGTGTTCTTCAATTCCTCAAGTAACCCTCATGTTCATCACTGCCTCAAGTAACCCTCATGTTCATCACTGCCTCAAGTAACCCTCATGTTCATCACTGCCTCAAGTAACCCTCATGTTCATCACTGCCTCAAGTAACTCTCATGTTCATCACTGCCTCAAGTAACCCTCACGTTCATCACTGCCTCAAGTAACCCTCATGTTCATCACTGCCTCAAGTAACCCTCATGTTCATCACTGCCTCAAGTAACCCTCATGTTCATCACTGCCTCAAGTAACCCTCATGTTCATCACTGCCTCAAGTAACCATCACGTTCATCACTGCCTCAAGTAATCCTCATGTTCATCACTGCCTCAAGTAACCCTCATGTTCATCACTGCCTCAAGTAACCCTCATGTTCATCACTGCCTCAAGTAACCCTCATGTTCATCACTGCTACGAATAATCCCATGCTCTCCAATGCCTAGAGTAATCATCCTCAGTAATGACTCAAGCACTTCACATGCTCATCAATGCTCAAGTGATCCTCATCCTCATTAATGCTTCATGTAATCCTGCTCATCAGTGCCCCAAATAATCAACTCTCATCAATGCTCGTCTCTAGTTTTCATCCTCGCTAATTCCAGCCTCCATTATCGCAAACCCTATTAATCCCTTTCTTCATCACTTTAAATTTAATTAATCCCATCATTCAATACCCCCCCTAACCCCCCATTAGTCTTCAAGTAATCCCTTCCCCCTATCAAATTAAATCCACATCTTCACTTTACAGTCCAAGAAATCAGAAATCTTCACTACTTCGACTCGAGTCGTTGTCATCTTTACTTGCCAGACCAAAGGATTTTTTGGGGTTATTGTCCTTCGGTCCCCAGTCATTACCTGCGTCAGTGTCTACCATCCCATCCTCACTACAACCTAATTAATCCTCACTTTCTGGATAGCTACAGGGGATTACACTGCCTTCTCTGGTAATCACCATCTTCTCTTGTCTCCTTTCTCAAATAATCCCCACCTTTCGCTGCTCCCTGGCCCCGCAGTAATCCTTACCTTTGGTGCTCCCTCCGCTAGTAATCCCCATCTTCACTGCCCCCCACAAATACCCATTTTCACTGCCCCCCCCTCAATAATCCCCACCACTGCCCCCTCCCTTGTAATCCCCACCACTGCCCCCTCCTAGTAATCCCTACCAGCTCCCCAGTAATCCCCATCACTGCCCCCTCCCAGTAATACCCACCACTCCTCCCAGTAATCCCCACCACTGCCCCCAGTAATCCCCACCACTGTCCCTTCCCAGTAATCCCCGCCACTGCCCCCAGTAATCCCCACCACTGCCCCCCCAGTAATCCTCACCACTGCCCCCCCCAGTAATCCCCACCACTGCCCCCCAGTAATCCTCACCAGTGCCCCCCCCAGTAATCCTCACCACTGCCCCCCAGTAATCCTCACCACTGCCCCCCCAGTAATCCTCACCACTGCCCCCCCCCAGTAATCCCCACCACTGCCCCCCAGTAATAGTCACCACTGCCCCCCCCCCCAAGTAATCCACTTCAGTGTTAGTGAGCAGCAACCACTAAGAGACGGGACGAGGCATCGATTAATTGGAGAGTTACGGCCTGGGTGACCCCATTCCCCCCTCCCCCCTTCCCCTCCCCCCCCTGCTCCAGAGCACCCTCCCCCCTTCCCCTCCCCCCCCCCTGCTCAAGAGCACATCCACCTGGACTGGTTGGTACAGCGACAGCCACGCTACTTGTAAGGTCTACGTTCGATCCCCCAATGGTGCAAATGGTTGAGCACCGTTCCTTCTCTCCGTCGCCCTTATATCAAGGGCTATAAGGTCCTCTTGGCTTAGCACTTTCTACTAGCAACTAGCTTTACCATCAGTTCTGCCCTCCTCACCTTTGTTCTGGAGAGGGGGAGGGGGGGTAGAGAAGATGAAGAAGTACAAGCGAAGGAAGAAGTTTGGAATTGGGAAATATAACAGACGGGCTGACCGCCTTGCTGACACGATGTGTGTGTGTGTGGTAGCTAAGCTAAGCTTTCTATCATCTGTGAGCTGTATGTGTGAGGTTTTTCACATGTGTTTTTAGAACATATGGATGTCTATAGATGAATACTATGTAGCTTTGGCATCAAGTCCACTACGGGCTCACCATAGCCAGTGCTACTTAGAACTTTTATTGCGAGTAGCTGAATCTAAAACAACCACAACAAACATCCCAGATGGTTGTGTACAGGTTTTGATGGTACATGTTTATACCTGATCAACCAGGCTGTGATTCATACGTCAGGCTGCGAGTAGCCGCGTCCAACAGCCTCGTCGACCAGTCCAGCAACGAGGAGGCCTGGTCGCCGACCGGGCCGCGGGTTCGCTAAGCCCCGAAAACACCTCAAGGTAACCTCAAGGTATGGTCTGTTTAAGGATGTTTTTGGCAGAGGTCACGACCTCTCCGCAGGGTACAGTCGCACCTCCACAGATCTCCAGTATCAGCTAATAATACTGGTAATAACTCCAAAAGGAACACTTACGGGCTATTCATGCCCGTGCCACATTTTGGGTGGCTTAATCTTCATCAATCAATCAGAGGGGATAGGGAGCTGTGGTCTGTATGTCATGTTGGAATTAAGCATTGTGCTGCTGGGTTTCCATCGAGTAGATCTTATCTCTGGGGCCCCAAACTGTGGGAGTGGGGCGTCGTCTTGGTGTAATCTCTCTAACACTGGGTCGTGTAACATTGTGATAAGTGTTCCACGTCCTGGTGGCGTGTTGCTCTTGCTGTTCAGTGGGTGTATATTCAGGGCCTCGTGGAGCTCCTTCAACTGTTTGGTCATATTATGGATAGTGTTTGGCAGGGCGTCGCGACGCCGTGTTTTACGCTGCCTGTTGTTTCTGCTTGTTAGTTTCCTTTAAGTTTGGTAGTGGTACTGGAGGGTATTGGAGATGCAGCCGGACTGGAGCCTTATATAAGTGTACTCACGTATTTGTGCTTGCGGGGGTTGAGCTTTGGCTCTTTGGTCCCGCCTCTCAACTGTCAATCAACTGGTAGCAACTGGTAGAACACACAGTGTGACTGTGTGTTCGTGCCGCGCTCTGTACACTCTCCTGCAGTTTTCGCAAGGCTCTTATTTTTTGCTTTATTTTAATGTCCTCTTAATCTTAAGTCCCAATATTGTGCCTACACCCGTGGGGTGGATAGACGGTTGTCCAGGATAACGGGGCTCTGGGCTACTTTTAACTGTGTATTATTTTGATCGTTTGATTGTTGGTACTCTGGCCTCTGTCTAGTAATCTCTCCCCCTCTCTTCTGCCCCAATTAATCCCTCTAAATCCACCCCCCCCCCTCCCCAACCCTCTCACTACCTCATCCACCTTCCTCCCCTCTCCTAAATCTACCCCCCTTCCCCCACCTCCACACCCCCGTACCCGTTCCCCTCCCCCAGACGTGGCCGTGTGGCCAACATTAACAAGTGTTCCTCCAGCCTGGCCCAGCGTCTGCCTCGCGCCAGGTAATCTCACTAATGGATTGAATGATCGACGTCGCCTTCTCACCCAGGACAATGCTTATATATATATATATATATATATATATATATATATATATATATATATATATATATATATATATATATATATATATATATATATATATAAAGAAAGCTGCAGGAACACGCAAGCCATAGATCACTAAGAAATCTAATTGACCCGGCAAGGATTCGAACCCATCCGTCCAGGATCACCCCTTGAACCTACACCGTACCGTGACCACCACACCAATTAATGATCGTCTAGTTAGTCATTTAATTCATTATAACAAGAAATACTTGTTATAAGACTACCCAACCACTTGGGCTGGACGGTAGAACGTCGGTCTCGCTTCATGCAGGTCGGCGTTCAATCCCCGACCGTCCAAGTGATTGGCCACCATTCCATTGATTGGCCATGTGTTACTCTGTGTGCTTATATTTTCTCTGTAATTTCGAAGGGTAAGACAGTCGTGTAGACGTTCTGGTCCTTGTCAGTAATTGAACTTGGTCCCGTGTAGCTCGTGTCATATTTATTGGGTAGCGGGGAAGGAGATCTGGATTACATATGGTTGGATTCCCCTCCCTCATAATTAGTAGTTTCGCTCTTATTGTATTGTTGCTTTCTGTATTACATGTATGCATGGTTTGTGTCTTCATTTTCCTCTCTGGATCTTCCGTTGCTTGGCCGGGGCTTGTGTGTAACAACCTCCACAGCTTATGTTTTCTGATATTATTTTTTCAAATATTGTCGTCTGTCTATTCGTTTGACACCTTTAGTTTCCTACAAAATCAATTATCCCTTCGTGTGTGTGTGTGTGTGTGTGTGTGTGTGTGTGTGTGTGTGTGTGTGTGTGTGTGTGTGTGTGTGTGTGTGTGTGTGTGTGTGTGTGAGATGGCCTCAAGCCTCAAAATAGAGCCTTGTAGGCCTATTTAAAGGCTTGAGGCCTTGCCTTCTAAATCTTCTCCTTTGTAGGTCATATTGCCCACTAACTCTCTTTTCTCTCCTAATTCTCGGTGTGAAGATTGACATCAATTATTAATCCCATCTTGGGAATGATCACTGGATGGATGCGTTGGGTGCTCAAGAGTGTCACAGGAACCTTTGTCGTCTTTAGGTATAATCCTATATAACGGACTCCTATGTAAACAAAGCTCTGATGTTCTCTAATCCCAAAGGCAATGGTGACTAGAAATGCCTAGGAAGAGCTAATTTGTTAATTAGTAATCATTTCCATGCTGGTGTGAACACCTTGAACTTTACAGAGGAGTCTGTGGTTAGAGAGATACTCTCTCTGACTAGGATTAATATATACTCTGAACCATTATATGTAGAGAAATGTATATTCACGTTGACCCTTTTTCCCTGGTGCTTCTCTTTTTCCCCCCTTTAGACCTCTGTCTTCCTCTGATTCTCCCCCTCAGTCCTTCCTCATCCCACTCCCCCCCCCCAACATCACCCTTCACCCTTACCTCTCCCCCTCACCCCCTTACCCCCTCACCCCTTACCCCCTCACCCCTTACCCCCTCACCCCTTACCCCCTCACCCCTTACCCCCTCACCACTCTTCCTCCGCCTCATCTCTAACTGGACACGTCTCCACAGAAGCCCCATCGCCTCCTGCCCACCAACCTGTATGTCGTCCTCTACAACTTCACCTCCAGACATCCAGACGAGCTCGACCTCAGGTGAGCCCAGCCGGGGGGGGGGGGGGGGGAGGGCGCCAAGTGACCTTCGGTGAACCAAATAAGGTGGTCAGGTGACCTCAGGTGAGCCACACTAGGTGGCCAGGGAACCTCGGGTGAGCGAAGACAAGTGATCACGAGTTGAGCCGGTAGGTGGCAAGGTGTTTTCAAATTAGGTGTCCAAGAAACCCAGTCAAGTGTCCAAGGAACCCAATCAGGTGTCAAGGAACCTAATCAGGAGTCCAAGAACCCCAGTGAGGAGTCCCAAAAAAAAACAATCAGGGATCTAAACACACAGCCAGGTGTTAAAAAAAATATATTCGGATAATGTTTAAACAGGTGTTCACAGAAAAACTCGAACCCTGGGCAGGGGAAGGGTACTAGGGTATGACTCAGAAGCCCAGAGGAGCCACAGGAACCCGAGGAAGGACTTCCATGGTGCAGGAACAGTGAGCAAGTGGAGTGAGAGCGCGACTTGGAGACAGCAGAGCCTCACTTAGTACATAATGTCAAGGTAAGCTACAGTCAGACGCCCAAGACGGTCAGCAACAATTGCAAATATGCCTACTGGCGGCTGAGTGCCGGGTCCAGGAGCTGAAGTTTATCGCATACACATATTGGTGTGTAAACATTAGACCAGGTGAGACTGAGGGTACTGGACCAGGTGAGACTGAGGGTACTGGACCAGGTGAGACTGAGGGTACTGGACCAGGTGAGGCTGAGGGCACTGGACCAGGTGAGGCTGAGGGTACTGGACCAGGTGAGGCTGAGGGTACTGGACCAGGTGAGGCTGAGGGTACTGGACCAGGTGAGGCTGAGGGTACTGGACCAGGTGAGGCTGAGGGTACTGGACCAGGTGAGACTGAGGGTACTGGACCAGGTGAGACTGAGGGTACTGGACCAGGTGAGACTGAGGGTACTGGACCAGGTGAGGCTGAGGGTACTGGACCAGGTGAGACTGAGGGTACTGGACCAGGTGATACTGAGGGTACTGGACCAGGTGAGACTGTGGGTACTGGACCAGGTGAGACTGAGGGTACTGGACCAGGTGAGGCTGAGGGCAGTACGGGAGACAATTAAAGGAGAACATGTGTGAGGTGAGAGGAGAACTTTCCTCCTCACGACGGAGAGAACAACAATGTGCGTAGGAGGAAGAGAGGAGGGAGAGAGGAGGAGGCGCGCAGATATACAGAAAGTGAGAGGGAGAGAAATAGACGTGAAATAAAGAGGAGTTAGTGAGATATAGAGAAAAGAGGGAGAAAGAAATGGGATAATGTAGAGTAGAGACAGGCGTGTGTGTGTGTGTGTGTGTGTGTATGTGTGTGTGTGTGTGTATGTGTGTGTGTGTGTGTGTGTGTGTGTGTGTGTGTGTGTGTGTGTGTGTGTGTGTGTGTGTGTGTGTGTGTGTGTGTGTGTGTGTGTCCATTAATTGTTTTATATGAGGGGGTGTTTTAAGACGTGTTCAGAACTGGCACAAAACAGAATACAGCAGCCTTCATATATATACTTGTACCATTATTGGAGACAAGACAGACAGACACAACACATTACACACACACACACACACACACACACACACACACACACACACACACACACACACACACACACACACACACACACACACACACCCAAATTATGCGGCGTGGCATTATTAAGTGGTTCTGATTGATTACAATCTGAGTGGCTCTTGATCAAGAGCCACTCAGCCACTCTCCAGACTCCACCCCCCCTCTCCCCCCTCCTCCCCCCCCCCTCCTCCCATCAAAGTGCTATATAGTCGTAATGGCTTGGCGCTTTCTCCTGATAGCTCCCCGTTCTTGATAAAGAAGAGGCGTCACCTCAAGAGGTCACGAGAGCCGCAGGGGGGGGGGGGTGAACGACACGTCGCACGTATATAAAGAGAAAAGAAGTGTTTGGGCAACATGTTTTTTTTTTGTTCACCTGATGCCTCTGTTGACCTAGCACGCAATAGGTACCTGGGAGTCAGACAGCTGTCAGAGTAGGGAGTAAGGAGTCAGTACATTAGACTACCGATGATTGGAAAGGCGGTGCTCAAGAGCTTCTACAACTCGATCCAGCAGACAAGTAGGTTAATACTCATGAGTTTTGGCAAGTGTTTGATAGTTGTCTGCGGCTTCGTCTTCGTCTGTGGCCGCGGGTGGCGCCCTCGCCTGCACCTGGTGTGTACATGAACTGGTGTACACACCGGTAACCCTGTGTGTACACGCCATGGCGATGGGGACCATGGCACATATACCGACGTGCAACGCAATTTAGAAAGTAGACATCGGACATATTTAATTTGTACAGACCGGAAAAGATTTTTATATTTACGCTGCAAAGACAAACTAACCTAACCTAACCTTTCTAGGCCCTAATAAACGCTATTTGAGGCCTAATATAGTACATATGTGTGCTATACTAGGCCTAGGAATATTTAAGTTTGTTCCTTACCTTCATTTTTTTTGTTTTGCACTCCATAAATTGAATAATACAAATCTATACTATCTAATTCCTTAGTACGTCAATTTTTGTACTATGGTGCACATGGTCACAAATGTACTATATAAAGAGAAGGACGGGTTGTACTGACAGCGTCACTGTCGTGACCGTCATCACTCTCCTGTCAAACAGTTCACCGTCACTGGGTACCGGGCTCAGTGGTCTTGTCAGCCAGGTATAGTGAGCGCCTCTAAGGGAGCCGGTCGGCCGAGCGGACAGCACGCTGGACTTGTGATCTTGTGGTCCTGGGTTCGATCCCAGGCGCCGGGGAGAAACAATGTTTCAGAGTTTCTTTCATCCTATGCCCCTGTTACCTAGCAGTAAAATAGGTACCTGGGTGTTAGTCAGCTGTCACGGGCTGCTTCCTGGGGGTGGAGGCCTGGTCGAAGACCGGGCCGCGGGGACACTAAAGCCCCGAAATCATCTCAAGATAACCTCCTTCCAGACCAAGAGACGAAGCTCATATACTCGCCCAAAGTGTTGTACGGAGCCAACACAAGACAGTCTGGAGATCGCTTTTTGGAGGCTGTGTGTGTCGGCTTGCACTCAATAAGGGGGGGAGGGAGCTATCAGGGGGGGAAAGCACCAAGCCATTACGACTATATAGCACTTGGAAGGGGTCAGGATAAGGCTTTGGGTTCAGGCCTGGGGGGGGGAAGAGAGGATTCTACCCCCTCGTATAATCTACAGCAAGTTCAATAAGGGGAAACTTGCTGTAGATTATACTAGGGGGAGGAGGAGAATCCTGAGTTCCTGATATGATAGTAAGTTCATTACCCCGAGTTCCTTTACTCTTACCGCATTAATTTGCCTCATGGGAAAAATTCCAAATAGTTAAAAAGAACCAAGTTGAATTGCTGTTAAAATAAATATCCTTAACTTGTGAAATGAAAATAGTCTTCATCCTCTCGTTTCTCCCCCGTTTACCTGACACTGTCATCCGCGTCTCTGTGCAGCTGTGTGTGTTGATAGTTATAAATATTGAAGTTATATTTGTTTAATAAATTTACGACAGTGAAATGCTTAATTAGCCCATAGGTAACCAGTGCCAGTTGCCTGCTGGTTCCTGTATAAATTAAGAGAGAAGGGAACAACATTATTGGGTTATAGAGGTTATAGGAGAGCCATTCCAGCCGTTATCGGGTACTTATAATAATCTTTACGTCAAGGATGGGACGAGAAGGTTGTTATTCTATCTCAGTAAATGTGGGTTGTTAGGAAGGTGAGGCGCGGCCTTGTTACTAAGGCCTATTACTCTTGCACGCTGACCTGGTGTGTGTACACTGTGTGTGTACACTGTGTGTGTACACTGTGTGTGTGCTGCTGACCTGGTGTGTGTACACTGTGTGTGTGTTCCTGACCTGGTGTGTGTACACTGTGTGTGTGTGTTGCTGACCTGGTGTGTGTACACTGTGTGTGTGCTGCTGACCTGGTGTGTGTACACTGTGTGTGTGTTGCTGACCTGGTGTGTGTACACTGTGTGTGTGTTCCTGACCTGGTGTGTGTACACTGTGTGTGTGTTCCTGACCTGGTGTGTGTACACTGTGTGTGTGTTCCTGACCTGGTGTGTGTACACTGTGTGTGTGTTGCTGACCTGGTGTGTGTACACTGTGTGTGTGTTCCTGACCTGGTGTGTGTACACTGTGTGTGTGTTCCTGACCTGGTGTGTGTACACTGTGTGTGTGTTCCTGACCTGGTGTGTGTACACTGTGTGTGTGTTCCTGACCTGGTGTGTGTACACTGTGTGTGTGTTCCTGACCTGGTGTGTGTACACTGTGTGTGTGCTGCTGACCTGGTGTGTGTACACTGTGTGTGTGTTGCTGACCTGGTGTGTGTACACTGTGTGTTCCTGACCTGGTGTGTGTACACTGTGTGTGTGTTCCTGACCTGGTGTGTGTACACTGTGTGTGTGTTCCTGACCTGGTGTGTGTACACTGTGTGTGTGTTCCTGACCTGGTGTGTGTACACTGTGTGTGTGTTCCTGACCTGGTGTGTGTACACTGTGTGTGTGCGCGCTTCTGACCTGACCTTTCTCCCAACAGGGCCGGCTACAAGGTCACCGTGACGGACACGTCCGACCCCGACTGGTGGCAGGGAAAGTGTCTGGGCAGGACCGGCTACTTCCCTTCCAAGTACGTCACCCGACTCAACGGGGGTGAGAAGCCTCTCCAGGTCACCCACAACCTGCAGGTCACCGACGGTGATAATGGCATCAAACTCCTCAGAGATCAGGTGAGGACCAACGGGGCTGAAGCAAGGAACCAACTGGCTTGCAAGGACCAGTTGTGGGGGAGCAGGATACTGACAGCCTTGCAAGGACCAGTTGTGGGGGAGCAGGATACTGACAGCCTTGCAAGGACCAGTTGTGGGGGAGCAGGATACTGACAGCCTTGCAAGGACCAGTTGTAGGGAGCAGGACACTGACAGCCTTGCAAGGACCAGTTGTAGGGAGCAGGACACTGACAGCCTTGCAAGGACCAGTTGTAGGGAGCAGGACACTGACAGCCTTGCAAGGACCAGTTGTAGGGAGCAGGACACTGACAGCCTTGCAAGGACCAGTTGTGGGGAGCAGGACACTGACAGCCTTGCAAGGACCTATTATTACAAAAGTTGTCATAGCTTATAATACTGCAGCTTTCAGGTCTGGGAATTTCTTAGTTCTTCTAAATCTGAATTAATTTCTTTAATTTGTATGTTTCTAATAATTGCATTAGATAGTCCAAAGTCATAATCAGTGTTTTCTTTCCTGCAAGCCTCATTGGCCAATCCATCTACAAAGTCATTTTTCCAACTCCAACATGGGATGGGATCCACACAAATTTTATACAATAGTTATTATCATTGGCAAAAATTCCATTCCATTTAATATTACAAGCTACTTCAGACATACATTGTGATGGGTTATTTAAGGACTGCAGAGCACTTTTAGAGTCACAGAATATCACTCCACCACCATTGAGCTTAAGGTACCCAATAGCTCAGCCTGTGTCGTGCTTGCCCAGTTGTTCAGTCTCTGTGTACTAGACATGATCATTTCATTCCCTTTATATACTGCACATGCACAACCTGTTCTACCAGTGCCTAATTGCACAGAGCCATCAGTAAAGGCATAGGATTCAGTTGGTTTGAGATTTTAAAGATGACTGTCAATAGCTTCTAATGTTATACATCTCATAGTTTCAGTGATATAAACTTATTTTACACTGATGCAAAGAGACCTGCACATCTTTCCAAGGGGGAATATAGTGAACAGTGTTATCGGGATCTCTTCTTGAGGTTATCTTGAGATGATTTCGGGGCTTTAGTGTCCCCGCGGCCCGGTCCTCGACCAGGCCTCCACCCCCAGGAAGCAACCCGTGACAGCTGACTAACTCCCAGGTACCTATTTACTGCTAGGTAACAGGGGCATTCAGGGTGAAAGAAACTTTGCCCATTTGTTTCTGCCTCGTGCGGGAATCGAACCCGCGCCACAGAATTACGAGTGCGCGCTATCCACCAGGCTACGAGGCCCCCTGGGATTAAGACACATTCAGTTTAAGAAGATTATAGGCACAACAACTGAGCCACACACTGAAAGGAGCTTTTTGCGGCGGATTGAGAGAACAGTCAGAATTGTTTAGAATGTATTTCAATTTAATCTGAATAGAGCTTGGGGGGGGGGACTATTATTTTTCAAAATTTTAGCGCAAAACATAGTACTAAGTAGAATTTTTCTCTCGTAAATGGAAGGCAATTTTGGTTCCTTTCTCATGTCAACAATTCTGACAGTTCTAAGACAACCCAGGATGATGTGCATGGCATCATTCTGTACTACATCTAGACCCTGTAATTGTTTAGGAGAAAAATTAAGAAGATGCAAGCATAATAAGATCGTATAAAGAACAGATCGTATAAAGGCAATAAAAAACTATGAGCATATTTTATGTTAATTCCAAATCCTTTGTCAACAAGAATTTTGAGAGGTTTAAGACACTCTTTTGTTTTTGTCCAAGGTTACTGATGCGACTTGTATCATTAACCTCGACTCCAAGATATTTATAAGACTCACAAGTCTCCACGGGCACTCCATTAATAGTATAGTTAACATGAAGAGAATGGGGAATAAGAACCCTTGTTTTATCAACAGTGATTATGAGGCTACATTCTACTACTTTCTTGGAGAATGCACCAAGTAACACTTGTAGCCTTGGTTTACTGTGTGCCATAATACAAATATCATCAGCATAACATATAACAGTTTCCGTAGGTTGTACAGATATGTCATGGATAAGTTTGTGCATAAATATATTTAAGAGCATAGGGCCTAGGACACCACCTTGAGGTGTGCCTAGTTCGAATGCATCTGTTCTTGTACTTTTAACTCCTTTAAATAGGACACTAGCACGCCTGTTGGATAGGTAGCTCTTTATCCAACTCAGAAGATTACCTATGATTCCAAATTCAGCAAGTTACTCTAATATTATTTTGCCATTCGCTACATCGAAAGCTGACTTTAGGTCAATAAAGGCCGGTGTCCCATCCTGAGAGTGTAGAAAATGTTCAGCAAAGCATGTTTGCGTGCTACACTTGGGCATAAACCTATATAGGGTAGGAGCCAGTTTTTCCTTGACCTGAATCATTACACGATTGAGAACAATTCTCTCCAAGACTTTACACATGCAAGATGTAAGGGAAAAGGGGTCTGAATTTTTTAGTTAAGTTTAAGAATTGGTACTATGAGACTTTGTGTCCATTTCTTAAGCAAGATACCTTGTGAGAGGTTCATTTGATAGAGGTCAAGAGGGTGGCTAGGGACATCATTCGGTAAGCTCAAGATGTTATAAGTTATACCATCCTCACCAGGGGCAGTTTGCTTAGGTTTCCCTAATGCTGATGTCAGTTCAAAGGGGGTTATAGCAAACTAATCTGTTAAATCTGGTGAGGAACGTGCTATTTCAATATTAATGTTTCTGTTAATGTTGGTATGTCTTAAATGCTGCTGTATATCTGGGGGTAAGAAAGAAATTTGTGAGACACTAGACCATTGAGCTAGGAGCATGTCAGCATATTCTGCAGGAGTATGATGAAGCTGAACTGGGGCTGAAGGTTTGGTAATGTTTTTAATTTTGTTCCACATTTCTGATAATGTTGTAGTTCTATTGATACCTTGTAGGAATTGTTCCCAATATGTGTCCTTAACTTGACCCTTAAGCTCGCGAAAATCTCTGTTGGCATTAAGGAATGCAAGTAAATTGTCAGCTGTTTTGTCTCGTTTATAAGAGTCAGCAGCTGAAGCACTTTAGCTCTGCAATAATAATAGGATCCTCTGTCCATGAGGAAGAACGAGTGTTCTTTTTTTTCCTTGATTTAACCCAGGTATCATAATAACTGGTAATGATACTGACAAGATCATTGTAAAAGTGGTCCACTGATACAGGTGTATACCCAGTGTACCACTTGTGTACATAAGCCTTAAAGTGCGGTTTAAGATTGTCTGGAATATTAATTTTAACCTCAGGATGATGATTAGACCTAATATCCGCTACATTGTATTCACAATGTATTGCAAAATGATCACTTACTAGTTCCGGGATGAGCTTAATGTTGACGTTGCTATCTGCTAGGCTGTACCCAATCACATAATCCAGCCTACCTCCCAATAAATGTGTCTGTTTAGAACGACTCCCTGGTGTTGACGATCTGAAGGGGGGGGGGGGGGGAGTGGTGATGAAGTTATATTCTAACCCATTTTCCATTTGGCGGCCATCTTGTTTTGTGAAGTTATTTTTGAAGACTCCCGTGTCAAAATTATCCATCTAATAGTGTTGTTTTCCACATCGAAAAGTACAATAAACGATCATAAAATGTTCATTTGCAGTTTTTTTTTATTGTTTGGTGGGGGGGGGGGTATTATTGGTGGTATATTGACTCGACTACATGAAAATAAACTTTCCCATGTAGAGTCATGAAATAAAATAGTGTGTATGTGCTCAATTGGTAGGGAAGGTGTTTACAGAACATTATGGAAACATATATCGTCTGGAGACCTCCATCAATGAATTATTGCAATATATAATTATGGTCAAAAATTTCATCGGGGCATCTTATTTGGAAATTAAGTTTTTGGGCATTATTAACACCTGATGTATTAAATGAACAATTCTACAAGGGCCGTGACGAGGATTCGAACCTGCGTCCGGGATCATCCCAAGCATCAGGTTCGAATCCTCGTCACGGCCCTTGTGGAATTGTTCATTTGATGCATCACGTTATTGTGATCTCTGTGTGTGCAACCCGTCCTCTTAAAAATAACGTCACTTTTGGCTCGTATGCGCACTACAAAAAAAAATCCCAAATTTATTTTCAATATTTTTTAATTTTCAAATTACGTCCATATTCGGCCATACGGGCAAACGGCCAAAAGCGACGCTCTTTTTAAGAGGACAGGTTGCTGTGACCTGATGTATTACTGTGCTTCCTTCACTACTCCTGCAATGTCATGATAACAGAATAACTTCCTTTCGACAGATCGTCATTCAGATCGGGGAGGAGGTGGAGGGTATGGTGATGATCCGCAACGGTGACAACCAGCAGGGGGTGTGTCCGCTCAAGTACCTGCAGGAGGCCTGAGCCTCGTACTCGCGCTGGCCGGCCAAACCACTTCCACATCAATTCCTGTTTCTCGTTAAGTCAATGACTCTTCAGTGAGACAAATATACTGTGGACTCGGTGTAAAATGAAAATCTTTCGAGGAATATCCAAAACAATATTTGAAAATATAAAAGTACTGAAGTAAACAACAAACTAGAGAAAAGACAGCTGGGGGCAGCAGTATGCACTCGTGGAACGCCGAGTGCCCGCGGGGAGCTGGGTTGGGGCGACGAGCCAGGGACCTGCTCCCCGGCCTGAGGGTTGGGGCTACGAGCCAGGGACCTGCTCTCCGGCCTGAGGGTTGGGGCTACGAGTCAGGGACCTGCTCCCCGGCCTGAGGGTTGGGGCTACGAGCCAGGGACCTGCTCCCCGGCCTGAGGGTTGGGGCTACGAGCCAGGGACCTACTCCCCGGCCTGAGGGTTGGGGCTACGAGTCAGGGACCTGCACCCCAGCCTGAGGGTTGGGGCGACGAGCCAGGGACCTGCTCCCCGGCCTGAGGGTTGGGGCTACTGAGCCAGGGACCTGCTCCCCGGCCTGAGGGTTGGGGCTACGAGCCAGGGACCTGCTCCCCGGCCTGAGGGTTGGGGCTACGAGCCAGGGACCTGCTCCCCAGCCTGAGGGTGACGCCGAAGACTGTGACATTCATTCCTGAGAATTAGTTGTTGTTGTTGTTGTTGTTGTTACTGTTTAGCTCTTTTGCACATAAATGTGGTCTTCACTGCACTGTTTGAAAGCTGATCGTGGTTCGTATTTACACTGGGAGTTGCCCCTGACAGCAGTGGATGACCTATCAAGGGAAGGTGCAGAAAATCTCCCATATTCATTTGTACATCTTGTCTGCATACTTCAGTATGGACCTATAAACACACTATGAATTTATAGTCTATGTCGCAAGGGGGAAATAATCATAATATGGATAAAAAAGAAAATGAAACTGAACTAGCAGAGGAAAGCAAGCCAGGCCACTCCAGCTACTTAAAATGTATCTTCTGAACATTTTAGAAGGTAAGATACAAGTCTTAATTGTTCTCTCCTAATCATTCCCATATTCCTTAGTCCTTAAATGTTTTTAAACTTTCCATCAACATTTGATAGGATCACACCGTCTTTTCAAACTTCTATTATACAATGTTAATAATAATGCAGTGTATTGCATAATGCAGGCACTATAACTGTTGCAAGTTCAGGGATATATACACCGAGAGGTATACCCAGTTTCTCGCTAGATGTATAAGTTCAGGGATATATACACCGAGAGGTATACCCAGTTTCTCGCTAGATGTATAAGACTGAACTATTTTCAGTATAAAATTCTGCTTGCTGGTTGGTCAGTAGGTCTCGTGGTGGCCTTGACAACACTCCTGCCGTTGATAGATCTTAAAAACAATGCCTGACGAAACAGGTGCGTAAGAACGCATCCTCAGGCTAAGCTTGGTCAAGCTGCACCCCACCCTAACGACGCATTCAGGAATTTTAGAAAGGAGGACTTTAGCAAACCAGTGTTCGTAAAAAGTTCAGATGTCATCAATTGTGCAGAGAGACAGTATGAAAATGACGTAGCAAATAAAGCCAAGAGCCAACCAAACAGCTTCCACATCCACGTCAGGAAAAAAAGCAGCAGGGCAAGAGATGATGAAACTGAGAAAATAAGAAATCAAGTACACAAAGAATGACAAGGTATGTGAAGAACTCAACAAGAGATATCAGGTGGTCTTCACAATAGAGCAACCTTGAGGTGCTTCCTCAAGGTTGAGGAACAGGGAGAAGTTCTCTTCTCCTTTTGTTTGAGGGGGAAACTCAAAGTTTGAGGTTTGAAACTCTCCCAAGTTTGAAGTGCAAGGAGAAGTCTCTGAATTGAGAGGTGACGGCGGTAAACCAAAGCACCTTTGTTAGAATTTGAAATGACTAAAGATGAGGTTAGGGGGCATCTGCTGGAACTGGACACAACAAAGGCTGTTGGTCCTGCTAATTCCACCATGGATACTAAGAGAGGGAGCAGAGCACTATGTGTGCCCTTCTGTATGGTGTATAATAGGTTACTGGAAACAGAAGATCCACCAGAAAGTTGGAAGATAGGTACTGTAGTCCGAATATACAAAAAAGGGTAACACAAAGGAGGCACTGAACTATTAATTAGTAGATTAGCAAGCTTGACTTGTATTTTTGAACTGATATTATGGTAAAGTTATCTAATTAATTTTAATTAATTTTGTCGGAGACAGACAAGCTTGTAGTAAGGTCCCCTCCCCCCTAATGTCGAACTAGTGACACTCAACAGAATGTAACCCCACAACAAGCTGACTAACTCCTGTGTACCTATTTACTGCGAGGTGAACAGAACCGTTAGGTGATTAAAAACGTGTCCCAGCCAGTTCTGACTCGCCTGGTATTCCCGACTGAGAGTCGAGAACGAACCCAATTGTTTGGACAGACGCAATTTCTGTGCTTGCCACAGGCGTATTTTTCGCAGATACTCTCCAAGTCCGAGAGTACTGTAGGTCCCAGTTGATGCAATTGGTGGACGATTCAAAGCAACAAGAGACAGGTTGTTTCCTGTAATAAAATAAACACTTTATCCGCGTGTCAGCATCGGTGGTTCAGTGGTAGAATTCTCGCCTGCCACACGGGAGGCCCGGGTTCAATTCCCGGCCGATGCATCCTTTAAGTATTTTTTTTACTATAATATAACACTTAGTTACTACTCAAGAAAATTCATAGAAATATTTATAAAGGATTCATTTCTTGCTCCAAGAGTTATTTGAAACAGATATACACAGTAGGTCTAAATTCACTAACCAACATTCGTTGCCGAATCCAAGTCAATATATATGTTGGTCCTCCACACTAGCGTTGTATCCCGTTCTCCTACGTCAAAGGTGGGGATAAAAACGAATATTTTCACAACCTCTAATCTTAAGATTTAGAGATGCGCCTTCTGTGTGAAATGTAATACCTTGTCAGGCCTATAAATAACAAAACGATGCATCGGCCGGGAATCGAACCCGGGCCTCCCGCGTGGCAGGCGAGAATTCTACCACTGAACCACCGATGCTGATGTCGGATAACGTTCACTTTGTTATAAAAAAAAAAAAGCTAGCAATCTATTGCTGCTTTTGAATCATTCTTAACTGCTTCAGTTGGACCCCTCTCCATCGTCGGGTCCTCCCGCGATGTAGACCCCATTCCATCAGCCTGTTTTGTAGAGTGAGAGAGGGTATTATCCTCATAGGAGGATGGGCTGGCTTGTGCATGCATATGTTTTCATACGTATTCCCTCAACCAGTATACATAAGTACAACTGACTTTTTCCAGCTTTTTAAATCATTAACTCGATGAATTTCAATAATGTTGTTTCAATTTTTCAGCTTCAAAACTTGAATCGCCGTCTCTTGGATAATGCCTTCCTCCTGAACAATGCCTTCCTCAGCGGCCGCCTTCTCTACAGTGATGTCGAGGTCCACTACAGTCACTTGAATCCTGCTTTCTCAGCGTGTATATCCTCTCACGTGCAGTCTGTCTCCTGCCCTATTACCTTTAGCCTCACCAACACTCTTTGACCAATCCTTTGAGGTTTGCATATAACTATTAAGATAGGCAATAATTTCATTATTATGTATTTTGATACATATCCTCCGTATTTGTTTCTTTCGTGGGGGACTAGAAACGTTGGTCCCAAGACTTTACATCTTCTCACATGTGAGGCTACTTCGTCTCGCTCTGGCCTCACCTGCGAGGCTTCTCTACACACACCTTACCTGCGAGGCTCCTGTACATCGTCCCACCCTTACCACACCTGTGAGGCTCCTTTTCATCTTGCCACGCTTGCCTCATCCGCGAGGCTCCTCTACACACCTCACCTTCTCAGCTCGCCCCTCTCCTTCCTCCCCACCCGACTCCTCGCCAGTCCCAGACCCCTGATAAGCCTAGCTCTAGTATTGACTTCCTGGCACTGCTTTAGCTCTTGGTTCCCCTCTAAAATTACACATGGTTGGCTCTGCCTTCCATTTATTCCTCACCCTCTTCCCCATCCCCCTCATTCCCCGTCTATTATATATCGTATCTCTCTGCTTCTTCGTATTCCTCCATTTACCCTATACTGCTCCACTTCCCTCCGTTTGCAAAATCCTTCAGGGTAAAGGAGCCCCTGGATAAGAGAGAGAGCTGTCAATGTTATCCAAGTGGTTCTATTATCCATCCCTGCTTTCCTCTCGTTACCTGACAAATAGGATAAACAATGAGCTTATATAAAAAGATGATGTAATTTTCAACAATATTTTTACAGATTATAAGAGATTAGAATCTTTGTATGGCCTTGGGTCCTTGAAGTCAAACTCACCTGTAAATTTGGTCCCAGTGGTCGAAACGTATATTACAGCAAAATTTATTATAACATAGCTGATGCAGTACTGGCATATATATATATATATATATATATATATGTCGTACCTAATAGCCAGAACGCACTTCTCAGCCTACTATTCAAGGCCCGATTTGCCTAATAAGCCAAGTTTTCATGAATTATTGTTTTTTCGTCTACCTAACCTACCTAACCTAACCTAACCTAGCTTTTTTTGGCTACCTAACCTAACCTTACCTATATATATAGGTTAGGTTAGGTTAGGTAGGGTTGGTTAGGTTCGGTCGTATATCTACGTTAATTTTAACTCCAATAAAAAAAAATTGACCTCATACATAATGAAATGGGTAGCTTTATCATTTCATAAGAAAAAAACTAGAGAAAATATATTATTTCAAGAAAACTTGGCTTATTAGGCAAATCAGGCCTTGCATAGTAGGCTGAAAAGTGCATTCTGGCTACTAGGTACGACATATATATATATATATATATATATATATATATATATATATATATATATATATATATATATATATATATATATATATATATATATATATATATATAATGATATTCATTTTCTAACGTAGAACGTCAACAATTAGTTAAAAGTAATTTTTTTCGTACAAATATTATTGTTGTTAGTTTACTTCGTTCATATACTGCCCGTTTTTTCTGTTCGCAATGTAAATCATTGCCACTCACATTGATGAAACCTAATTAATAACCTAATGATAAATTTTGTTTATCTGAAGCATTATATTTCAATATTCAGAATTATTATTTTTTTCAGTAATGTAAGAAAATGAATGGTAATTTTTTTGTCCATGAATTTTATCCTAGTCTTAAATGTTGACAAGGTAAACTCAGGCTCCAGTTAGCGGTTATTCCGACAACATAGTTGAGTGAAAGTATGTCCGCGGCCGCTCGCTGTATTATAATATAATACTATTATAATGTAGCTGTATAGTGTGTGGCTCTGGACAGAGTGAACTGTTAGTACATTACCATGTGCCCAAACGGTGTATTACACTTGTAAGTTGAAAGCCTGCGCTGTATTATCAAGAATATCTACGAAAGTGTAATGTGAGATCCCGTATACCGTAGATGTGACTCTACATCACTATACTATACTATACTATACTATACTATACTATACTATACTATACTATACTATACTATACTATACTATACTATACTATACTATACTGACACTGTAGTGAGGGACCGCTGTGTCAGTGTATAACCAAAATCGACTCATGACGGTGCATCAACAATGGCAATATTTTACACTACATGACATC